TTTTTTTTCTCTGACAAGGATAATACCGTAAACACTTTAACAGAACGCCTCTTTTAACCTTCAACTTTGAGCCGATTCATCTTCGTTTCTGTAAAAGATATCAAAAAGTGGTCAACTGACAAAATATATTTGATATTATAATGAAAATTTAGTTAGTTGACTACTTTTTGATATCGGTTACAGAAACCGAGTATCGGCTCAGAATGTTTCATATGGAGAATCCTCCCAAACTTTGAAACTAATTTCAATCCTGATTTCATCATTTGCCCTTCACTGGAACCCAAAATTTGTTCCGGATTCCCTCATTATCTTGACATCTCATTCGACACAAAATTAAAACTGTTTCCATGGCTGGCTACGTGAGATGCTTTAGATCTAGAAGATACAAAATCTAACGGTTTTTATTGCGTTTTCGCGAAATGTAGGACTAGAGACATTTCGGGTTGGATGACTTAATTTTGTTTTCAGTTGACTGAAATTTTACTTTGAATCTTCAAGCTTTTATTCTGTAGATATCAAAAGATGAGGAATTTCATTCTTTTTCCAAAGATCATTCTATTTCTTTCCAGTTCTAAGATCCCAGAACATCTAGGAGAAAATCCCTCATATACATCATCAGTTTTTAGACACCTTCAGTCTCGCTTCTTTCATATAAATCTCTCTACCCCCCGCGTTTCTCTCATAAGGATTCGATAATCGAAACGCAACAAAAACAAAAGTTGCATCGGTTTCCTGTTCCCTTCTCATCTTTATCCCTAGATCAGTCCTATCCTAAGAATCCATGCTTTTCTCATTCATCAACCAACCAACAAGTTTGCTTTTGGCATTTCTTGTAATGAAAAATACATGAACATAAAAGGGACAAAAGATTAGACTGCGGGAGAAAATGTGGCTAGACCTTACAGTCGGGCGGTTTTTATCGTTAGAGGAGGAGGGTTTCAAAGCTGTGGGTGAGAGAGGAAAAAAGAGAAATTGAAATGGTGGACATGATATGTGTGTTCTGATCTTTTGGATTCTTGGGATTACTGTAGAAAAAACTCACTTTCGATTTTTGAGATACTTTACAATATCCGGCTCGTAGGGATCTAGTATGGGCCATACGCATTCGTTATAGAGGATGGGGTGAACGTCTGAAATTGGGGGAATATGAATTTCCAGCTGAATGATAATACAAAATCAAAAGTGAATACTTTGTTAACTAATGATTAAAAATGTAGAAAAAATACTGTAAACACTCAAATCGAAGGCCACCCATACTGTCGAATTTGAGCCCATATATCTCGGTTTCAGTAAAAGATATCAGAAAGTCGTCAACTGACAAAGTATTGATCATGTTATGATAATCATGTTGTCAGTTGACAACATTTTGATACCTTTCACAGCAACCGAGATTTATAAGCTCAAAGTTAACGGATTTCATGAGCTTCTATTAGAGCAATTACGGTAAGTATTCGTTTTAGTGAACGTACAGTTTGAAAGATTGAAAGACTAAAATTTCAAAAAAAATGTGGGAAAATCTGACTTACTGTAATTCGGAAGTATAATTTCTCCTCGATCAATTCCATCCAATGTTTGCACGTATGACCATTCTTTATTGTGCTGCCAATAATATACAGACGCTCCAAGAACCGAAGCAAGCAGAAGTAATGCTTGGATCATTCTGCTGAAAACTGAGGCAAATTTTAAAAGTGTTTGAGATGACAAATGAAGTGAAGAACGAATGAAATTTTTGTGTTATAAACGGGTGCGTTCAAACTGGCAGTAGATTAGAATCGGATCTATTCTGAACTCGACGAAAAAAACTGCCAAAGAGTGGGATACGAAAAAAACGGTGAGGATTCGGAAAGGATGAAACTAAAAAGAGGTGAAAGAAGAGGAGACAGAGAAGAATAATGGGCGGGCTTTATCAAAAGGCCAGGAAAAATGAGAAGAAACCGAAAAGAGACGGAATGGAAAGTGCAGGGAGAATGAAGAAATGGATAGAAGCTAAGGAAGATGAAGCAACGCAGAAGACACGACAGGAATCGCGTTTTATGCTAAGAAGATGAAGCGGAGAGGGATACGAGACGACGTGTTATTGTATTGGAAAAAAGACAGATACGTTCGTGTCAGGCTTTCTTTCTTTTGTATTCCGATTCGAGTTTCCAGAAGATTTTGAAGATTTTGGTTGTGAGATTGTGAGTTGAAACTGCGTACGTGTTGAAGATTCTTCCTTGAAGAAAAAAATGAACATTGAAACGAAACTTTCGAATTTGCCAATTTCATGCTTCGAATCTTTTTTTTTGAACCGTTCTTGTTTCTCTTAAAATACACTCCCTCTTTTTCTATTTCTGAAGTCAAAGTTCTCAAAAGACCTATTTCCGACAATTTAATTATCTTTTGACCTGGGGGACAAAATTATGAATAATCCAATTGGGAAACTTTTGATCTTGATGAAGTTTGTTGAATGTATCATGTCTGGAGTCCGATTGTTCTCACGAATCGGAAAACCAGTTGAAATTGCTACCAGCAGTTCATTTTAATGTTCAAATAGACTCATTTCAAGGAAAAAATTGCAAGGTGGTTCCCCGGACAGATAAAAGATAAGCAGTTACGCGGACTGTTAAAAACGGGTATATCTTTCGACATATGTATCTTGGAAGCACGAAAAGTGGTACAAATATAATTTTACGTTTGATTCAAAGCTACTGAAGTTTCCAAAACGATTCCTCAAATTAGGTATTGTAATGAATGTCCAACAATGAACGATGTAATTTTTCTTGCACGCCGTGGTGATTTTCGTGTGATGAAGCAACTTTGAAGAGCCTCAGCTCAATAATTCAAAACTTTATCAGTTTACTGATAAATTGTTTTAATTTTGGAAGAGTCTGGGTAATTATGTGCCACTCTGTATAATGAGATTCGAGTTTTACAAAATTATGAAAGTAATGTATCTTTAGAAAATGTTCCAATAGAATCAAAGAGAGTAAAAATTGCCATAAAAGCGGTCAAGGTTCACTTTTCCCGGAAATTCTTGAATATAAAATGCTTCCTCCGATGGTAAACATTCCCAAATATAGAACTGTGTATATTTTTTGCTCTCATTCAAAATTCCCCGACAAAAAATGAGGCCTTTTCGAGATTAACACCATTCCATGTAACCACCAAACTACTAATTATTAGAATTCGAAGAAACAAAACATTTTTATTCAATTCCTGTTTTGAACGCTATCATTAGGTCTTGTCAAACTACTCGACACCAAAGACACATCACCAACAGATATGGTTCTTGGGAAAAAAAGAGATTGGGCTTTCGATTTGGCGATTTGAAACAGTGGTCGATTGAACAGAATCATAGCGAGTGTACTCATGGCTCCATGGAGAGATGCCAACACGATTGCTACGTATCCAACTTCTGAAATAAAACAGTTTACTTATGACCTAGTTTTCCTACAACTAACCATTACCATCGAAGTGAAATAAAATGGAAACAATATAGATGAATAAAGGGAACCCCATCATTATTCCATGAACACCGATTTGACAGAAAAGACTGACTAGAAATGCTCGATGCATTGATATTGTTCTCAATGAAGATCGAGACTCTCGTACCATTTCATCAAGGGCTAAAAACGAAACGATACCCATGGTGGCACATAAAAAGGTCCCGACAATCGTGGAAATAAGAACGAAAACATTGAAAAGATGGATAGGTTTTATTCCGGCATTTGATGTTTTTGGAAGTGTTATAGCCGAGGTGCAGAGAAGTTCAGGAAACTCATTTATGATCTGAAAATAGAAAAATGATTATAAATGCAAAATTTTTAGAACAACCTCCAGTTTCAATTTGTACTTGGTTTGTTCGAAAATTCCTGTTATGCAAAGACCCAAAAAACAAAATGTGCATCCTGAAAAAACGACAAGAGTCCGACGACTCCCTTTAACAATAGCCGTTGACTGTTTGACCCAACGGGAACAGACATTGCTTTGGTATATCAGTTTGAATCGAAAATATAGAAGTTCTAGAATTGACCAACCAGTAGAAGCAATGAAGAAATAAAAGATAATGAATGATATGAAACCATTAATGTATGACAGGAAGAAGGCTCCAGACATTCGAATAGTGGGATACGGTAGATAGAGAATAGGTTTCATTACAACAGACAAATGAAGTTCAAATAGGAAGTTGCTGAAATCGAAGCTGGTTTTTGAGAATGAATAAAACCTGTAATAGAACGGTCCCCTAACTTTTAACTTTGAGCCATTTTTTCTCAGTTCCTACCAAGGATAAGAGAAGGGGATCAACTGATAAATTGTTTATCATATTATCAGAAGTGTTTATTAAATTGACACATTGCATATCTTGCGTAGGAGCCAAGAAAAATTAGCTCAAACTTGACCCTGTGCCTTTCTATTACAGGTTTCATGTTAATTTATGAGTCTTACCTCACAACATGAGTAGCAAGATATTTTTTATAAACTTTAAAATTCGGAGATTTTTCCGCATACAAAGTATAAAAGGCCATGACATAAATAGGAAATGCTACCAAATGAGCACCGGTCAAACTCATATTATATCCAATAGGAGCTGGTTTCTTACACATCTCTCTATTATCATAAATTAGATTGATCCACTCATCAAAAGATCGAGTCAAAATTGACTGCTCGGGCAAAAAACTCATTTCCGAAATTACAAACGTTTCCTAATAAGCCACAATAGAGATCAGTAAAAGTACATGAATGTTTCGCTCCACACTCCAATTAAATTATAAGGTTTTGCTTTTCAGGAAATCAAATTTTCCGATTTGGCACGCATAATTGAAAAGCTTCTTATGAAAAAAAAAAGAAGTCAGAAAACTCAAAGATTGAAGAGTCAAACAAGTTTGCAGCTCTTAGAAAATAGGCGGGTCTTTAAAAAATTCATACTAGATTCTAATCTATAATAGGGAGGGTTTTGCAGAGACTTGTATACCATAAACACTTATGATAATGAATAATTAAGAATCCCAGAGTCCTCTTTGACTTTTATACTTTGATAATTTTAAAAGTCATGTTTATCAAAATTTTCATTCTGCAGAAATTCGGTCCGTCGCCAGTCTGTGCCCTTCGACTGTCATTAAGCAGTCGTTACACAATCTATTTTTTAAAGTGGTCCGATGTGCGAAAAAACATTGTTTTCTGCCAAAACTATTTCTAATCAAAACTTTGAAGTCGGTTTTCCACATTGTTCCGATTGTCCGTCAACAGTCCGTCGATAGCCCGTCGGTCGTTCTTCGGCTGCCAACTAGCAGTCATTCGCCAGTTTGCTACTCTTCAGCAGTCATTTAGCAGTTTTTCAAAAGTGTCCCTTTGGCTGTGTACATAGTTATCAAATTTTTTACAAGCGTTAATCGCTTAAAGCAACGTGAGGCTATTTCGCTGAACTGAAAAAAATCCTGAATGCTAATGAAAACCAGATGCCACTCATCAGTTCTATCCAATACACAGTGAATTATGTTTCCAGTGCTTCAGTTGCTCATATTTGCTCTTTTTCTCAGCGGATCTATGTCAATAACCTGTCAAAAAGATAAAGTGCGTTGTCTTATTTTAATCTGAAATTATCTACCGTAATCCTGAAAATTAAGGATTGTATCACCACATTCAAATTGACCGAAAAAACATGTTCTCTATCCGACCCATCGTACGAATCCGTCAATTCTAACAACTCGAAAAAATACAATAATATTTTCGAACACATTGAATTCGAAAACTTTGAAACTCCCCAATGTTATGTGTCCTTAAAAGATGTCAATGGAAAATCAAAGTCTGGAACACTGTACATCACATGTTACTGTATCAAAAAGTATTTTTCTGGATGCCTCAATACTGCAACAATGGCTGAATCCATATACCAATGGCGTCGCGATCCAACAAGTAAAGTGGATGACCAAATCAAAGATTCCGAGTATTTGAACAAAGTGGATTGTATTTTGAAGGGATTTGAAAATATTCCATTCGCAGTTCCTAGTGAGTTTTGTGTCTCGCGATTTGAGAATCTTTGTTTTATTTTTAGGTCGGCGTCCTAAGGAATTCTCTTTGAGAATCAACTGCACCGATTTCAGAATTGAACAGTTGTCAAGTTCATCGCAAAAAACCAGGAAAAAATCATTACACCAACTTCCAAAAAATACTAGGTTGGCCATCGATGTGGAATGTCCGATCCAAGATAAACTGAATATAAAAATGTATTGCTCAGAAGATTACTGTTATCATGATAGTATAGACAAAGACAATAGCATATTGATTATGAGAACTTATGTAAGCTCGTCTACAGTAATTATTTATTCTCTTATTTTCTTTCAGAATCTCTTCTACAAATCTGCTGGGAACCAGAAATTTGTTCGAAACAGCTGTTCGATTAGAAGTCCACATAAGTTTGAATTTCATAATCCGCGTTTGTGAATCTAATACCAATATTACAGAGTAAGTCAATGCGTTCTATCCGGGTTCAGAAAGCTTGCTGATCGCTTGTCCTACGGAAACGGGACCAAGATGGAAACACCAACTATAAGACAAGTCGGAGCTACACGACAAAAGTTAAAAGCAAATCAAAATGATCATTTGCCCACTTCCAACAATCACATCTTCTCTTGGTTCTTTATGGCTTTGTATCTAATTCCTTTCTTGTTCACATGCTTCTTTTCTATATGCAGTTGCAGTAAGTTTTTCAGACCGCTGTATTTTTCTCAACTCTTTTTTCAGAACATGAAATCCGAAATGAAATCGGTGTGACTACGAATCCAACCCTGAAAGATATCGAGCAAACTTTACTGATGGAGATGCGCAAGAATGAGGAGTCAAATGTGTCATTGAAAAAAACAAGTAAACCAAAGAGTGAGATTATTGATGCCGCAGTCACGACGACGACGTCCCAAATGGGGAATATCACCGACTTGGCATCTGAAGGACCAACCGGACCACAAGGAGGATCGATAAGTCAGTGTCCCTGGTTTTGCTAAATTGATTAGCAATTTTATATTTCAGAAAGTGTGAAAAAGGATTCAACAGCATTGAAAAGTGTGGAGGATCCAAAAGAGTCAACCGGCGATGCTGCAATTTAAACTTCTTTTTTATGTTGAGCTTCATAATCTACAAATAAAATTGATTCCCGTACTTCTACTTCTTCAAATGAATACTTCTATAGTTCCACATTACCGTTGAATTACTTAATTCGGATTTTAGGTTAATGTTTTCTTGAATGATCTGTGTTTTATATCAGACTGCGCTATGTTCCGGAAAATCCGAAAACCTTTTTCAAAGATTTCTATTTTTAGTGGAGTGAGCATCTTTAGATGAACTTTGAGTTTACGAATCTGTTTCAAAACATGTATTAGCCGCTTCAAGAATTTTTGGTCCAGCGAAAACAGCTAAAGTTTTTTGGGCAAATACTCATTAGCTTGATGATCTTGTGCTAAATGCTCACTTGCTAAATATGTTCATAAGCTAAACTCGCTCATTTGCTAAAATAGTCTCACTTCACGGTGAGTTTTTCACTACCACTGCTTCAACTTTGGAATTTTTTTTCTCGAATTCTAGTCCATAACTTTTTTTTCTGTTCCATAAATTTTTAGTAAATTTTATGAAGAATATATAGTAAAAAAATGAATCAGATTTTTTTTGTCCGTTGTACTTTTAAACGTCGCAGACTGTTTTCCTTCGGTAGTGAAAAACTCACCGTGTCACTTGCTAAATTTCCTTTGCCAAATTTTGATCATTTGCTAAAAATGAAAAAGTGGAAATTTTACTGTTATTTGGGAATTTCAGTACTTTTTACTGAACTTTTTTCAGAATATTCCTGTTTTTGTTTTGTATTTAAGGCTTAGGCTAAAACGCCTGTTTTCCAGTAAGGAGATTCAGCCTAAGCCTGCAATTTGAACAAGTACTCTATTTAGCAAATGATCAAAATTTAGAAAATGAAATTTAGCAAGTGAGACTATTTTAGCAAATGAGCGAGTTTAGCTTATAAGCATATTTAGCAAGTGAGCATTTAGCAAAAGATCATCAAGCTAATGAGTATTTGCCAGTTTTTTGTACCTTCGATACTGTATCTCGACAGTTTTTTTTTTATTTTTGCTTCTTTTTGGTTGTTTTAACTTTATAAGGAAGCTTATTTCATCGGTTTCCAGTTTTAGTTTCATTTTAGACGGTTTCTTCCTCTCCGGCCGAGAAACCCTTCCGATTTCTCTGACCAGAAAAAGAGAAATTTCAAATTTTTAAAAAGTGTGCAAACACTGTGACGCAAAAGTGCACTATCCACAGTTAGGGGGAATAAAATATTTTTTTTTCGTGTTGAAAATTTATGAAAAACTATGCCGCAGTGATGCCTCCTCATCCATGTTCCATTCTGTTTTATCGATAAATCCTAGACTATTTCACCCTCATCCGATTTCATAAATTGTCTTCTTACAGGTGGAGTCATCATAAAATGCCAGTAGATTCTAAAAAGCTGGTCAAAAAAGCTAGTCAGCTGATGAAGCCAGTTGAGAAACTGGATTGTGAGACTCCACGAAGCACCACCACTGATGGGTAAGTTTTAACCTTATCAATATGTCTTTCGGGTAGTTTCAATAAAAATTCTTTGCGAGCTCTTTTCCGACTGGCAACTTCAAAACTTCGTCGTTGTCTTCGAGACCCCGGAAATTCTTCTCATGACCGCATCCGAATGTGCTAAAAAACCATGCGGCAAAACCGTGCCAGGGTTGCAATTTAGGCTCCGCCCCCGACTCCGCCCACTTTTCTCCGGAGTTTTTTTTCCCCGGAATTTCCGGGGTCTCGTTGTCTTCAACGCCGTGTTTCTTGTCCTCCAGAAATTTCTAATTTTCAGTGAGACAATTACATTCGAATACATGTGGGCAACCCATCTAAGCGACGAAGATTTCGAATGGGTGTATGCTTTGTTCAAAGCAAATATGCTAGACATGTATCAGAAGTCACAATGGGGATATGATGAAAATTCGAAGCGAAACGAACTACGCGCAACGACGTCTCGGTTCATCATCGCTATCAATTCAAAAGGTGAAAAAATCGGCTACACAACCTACCGATTCGTGGTCGATCACAATATTCCTGTGGCATATTGCTGGGAGCTCCAAATTCTCCCCGCTTATCAAAACAAGGGAATCGGAAGTATGATGCTCGATACTCTGGAGCGATTATCTGCTAGGTAAATAGATCTAGAATAACCTCATGCAATAAAGTTGTATTCAGAACGAACATGGCCAAAGTGATGGCTACAGTGTTTCTCTACAACGCGCCATCGCTCGGTTTTTTCCACAAACACGGATACGTGAGCGATGTGACATGCCCTTCTGATGACTCTGGACTGGACTACGCGATTCTTTCGAAAGAAACTCCTTCCTGAATTTCTCGATATTTTAATGTGCCATCACTGATTTATGTAAAACTATTACAAGTATTTCTCTGTCATTCGTGTTTTTGATTCATATTTGTAATGGTTGATAATACTATGAAATTTGATTCCTCTTTCTTTTTCTTGAGCTTAAACAAAATCATTTGTTGATTTATATCCAAAAATTGATATCTTGCTTGTGATTCGAAATTTTCTTCTGAATCGGTTCCTCAGAGACAACCCCCTCCTCGTAATCGGTGGAGTCTTAAGAATTCTCCCAGCCCGGCCCGCCTTCAACAGTTTTCCAACTGAAAATTGAGAGTCTTTTTTAAATATAAGGGGAAAATATTTAATTATAAGGGGAGAATTAAAAAAGGATATCCTTTCAAACATGGAGGAAAACTACAAAGCCAGAGTTTTCTTTTTCGAATTTTCGAAAAAAGTTTCAAAAAGTCAGCTTCTATGCAAACAACGGGTCGGCCAGGCGGGTCACACCAATTTCGACGGACCGGGCCGGGCGATTCTGCAAGTATGATTTTTCCGGTTTTACAGATGCCAACTCCTTGGAATAAGCCAGAAAGCGATGAAGAAAGTCCCTCAGCAATCGCAGAGCCGATTTACGAAGGCAATGTGGCGCCTCTTCAGTTTGATCGAATTTTGAACTTCTCCGAAATCGATCAAAAGTCTTATGCGAGAAGTAATTAACTTCTTGGATAATGGAAAACTTAACAAAATTCTTTCAGACGTCAGAGACCGTCATAGGGATCGGGATGTAGTCGCCTCATCGAAAGTCGATTCCACGGATATCGATGTTTTCTGTGAGGAAAACGTAAACGTATACAATCATGATACGACTGACCAACCAAGCGATTACGACATTGAGAAAGAGCTTAGAAAAAGTTTGATCGATGAACGATTGCTCAACAACCTGCAAAAGGTGAAAGTGGAACGGCTGAACGCCGTTCAGCGTAAGTCAATCAGAACGGTTCGAGATGGAGTTGGTCTTATGGTAGAAGCACCGACAGGAATCGGAAAAACGTATGCTTTTCTAATTCCTGCTATAGAAAGAGCTATGGATGAGCGAAGAAAATGCAAAACAGTCGCAACGAAACCATCGCCTTTCGTATTGATCATGGCAAACACGGGAACTCTTGTCAAACAATTATTTGGACGATGCGAACTGATTCTTGGGCTGAAATGCATGGATGGAGTGAATCCGATTCATGATATCAAAGTTGACATGCTTGTCGCGGAACACCGATTTACCGCAGGTTTTCTCCACAAACACTTAAGAAATCTAATTTGAGATCCTTTCAGATTCATGTGATATTGTGTTTTGTACCATGGGAAAATTGAAGGCCACAGTCGAATCTGGAGACGTTCTTTTGGATAATCTCAAAATGATGATTCTCGACGAAGCAGATAAAATGATCGATACAGCTGCGTTTGGAATGGACGTCGAGTGGATTCTGGATCAAATGAAGGAAGAAGTTGTCCGAGAACTTCAGTCATGCTTCTTCTCGGCAACATTTCAGCGCGACAGGGACGCAGCGATCACACTTACGCCATTACAAATGAAAATGTTCGGAGGTAAACCATGGAAACTGGTACATTGCCCTGCAATGCCGGGATATATCACACAACATGTCATCAGACTAGACAGGCCTGGAAGAGATTTAACCTCACATACTTGGATTAAGAAAATGAATATTATCAGAGGATTGATCAACGAAGATCTGAAGACAACTGATTGTAAAAAAGAAGGACCGTATAAAGAGACGATTGCGATTTTTTGTGAGACTATTCAGAGAGTTGCACAGGTGGATGGACTTATTTTTAAATCTGTAAATAACATTCCCTAATTTTTTACAGGTCGCGATGGCTCTTCGTCTTTTGGGATACAATTTCCGTCCTCTCTGTCGAACGATCACCAAAAGTCAACAAGAAGTTACGATCAATGACTTGGAATTCAAACGTATTCATGGGATTGTGTGTACAAACATTATGTCTCGAGGAATCGATGTGTCTTCGATAAAGCATGTGAGCATTTTACGGCATCGCGAAAATTCTGGAGCCCGGAATTTACGCATTTTTGTCCATTTTGACCTTCACAGGCCAACCTACTCCAGCCGGGTGCAAATCAGGGGTTCTGCAAATATTTAAAAATCAATATTCTTGCAATTTTGAAAGTACTTGAAAGATAAATCTGCCCTGCTTCAGACCATCATCATGGAGATGTCCTCTGATTTCGACACCTACAAACACCGAATCGGGCGTGTTGGGCGAGATGGATTCGGAGGAAAAGCTACAGTTTTGATTGACCATGATACACTCATGAACCCACGTTCTGCTCAGATTGTCGATGCTTTATACGTTTTTATGGACCAATGCCAGCAACCTGCACCACAATGGCTCAAAGAATGGTTCGAACGACGGCACGCTGATGAGCAATACTATTGATATCTCTTCCTACTCGTACGATTGCTTATGACATAAACGTTTAAAATATTTATCAATTTTTATTAATTAAAAAAACAAGCGAGCAATAAGCCAGAGCGGATGCTCAATAAATAAATAAAACAATCATTTAACCCGAGAGAATAGGAGAGACTTGAATGTGCGGGGAGTGGGATTGTGATGGTGGGCGGTGTTGGTATGGAACACGAAGCGAGTAGAGTTGATACGAACGAGGCGTTTAGAGCTCGTCATGTCCTTCCTCCTCTTCCTTCTCCTCCTCCTCATCATCGTCCTTCTTGGCTTCCTTCTCCTCCTCAGCCTTCTTACGAGCCTCTTCTTCGACCTTACGGGCTTCCTCGTCGGCCTTCTCCTTCTTTTCCTTCTCAACGGTCTTCAACTTGTCGAAGGTTTCGGCGGCATGAGCCTCAGCCTCTTCGACAGAGTCGGTGATGAGAACGTTATCGAAGATGGTTCCAGACTTCACCTGAAATTACACGAATGAAATCAACTATTTTAAATAATGACTGTATTATTCTTACCTGCCACAAATCGAATCCAATGGCTCCCCAGTTTTCGTAGAGGTAGAGTTCATCATCAGGAGTGTACTCTGGGTTCTCAATTTCTGGGTGGATCCACTTGCCCTTGTAAGCTGGGTTCTTGATCTGCTTTGGCTTCCACTCTCCCTTGTATTCTGGGTTGTCGATCATTGGTGGCTCCCATTCTCCGTCCATCTCGTCATCCCAGTCTTCTGGCTTCTTGGCATCTGGATCTGGGATGTGCTCTGGCTTCTCCCAGTCCTCTGGCTTGACGTCCTCGGCATCATCGATGTACTCACGCTCGTCCCAGTCCTCTGGTTTCTTTGCGTCTGGATCCTTGATCTTCTTAGCTGGAAGAAGGTCCCAGTCCTCCTCGAGGCTTCCGGTTTGGGCGCTCTCTCCGTCGATCTTAACTTCATAGGTGTTATCGGCGTTGAGGATGAGAGTGTAGAGGTGGGTGAGTTCGTCGCTCTTGCAGGTGATTTCCTTCTTGATGAGCTTGTTTTCTCCCTTGTAGTTGAGGATGACGTGGACACGGCGAGTTGGTCCGCAGATATCTGGACCGAACATGACATTGTATGGAGTCTCTCCGTGGAAGTCAGCCAAATCGGCATCTCCTCTCATGACCTGAAAGAAGTAAATGTATTGATTCTATATTTTCTACGAAGTTCAATCTACCTTAACGTATCCACCTCCGCAATCGATTCCTTGCTCGTGCTTGACAGTATATTGGATGACGAGAGTTTTTCCTTTGTTGGAGAACTCCTTGTCAAACTTGGCGGCACGGGAGTAGAATTTGGCATCTTGGCTGGTTTGGATTCCTTGATCACGGGACTCAACATCGAAGAACTTTCCAGCGGAGAGCTTGAATGCTCCGAAGTCATCCTTGTGCTTAGATTGGACCCATCTCTTCTCCCAAGAAGCGTCATTGAATTCTTCTTTGAAGTAAACTTCAGCCGAAACAACGGCGACAATTGCTAGCAGGCAGAGTGATTTCATTTCGTTTCCGATAAAACGACACCAAGTTGAACCTAGAAAAAATTAGTAAGTTATTGAATTCAAATGAAATAGGCGACAATAGAAGAAAGTAACGAGCAAAGGGAACATTCAAAACTGAAACTATTTCAGAGAAAAAAGCTGAAAACGAGAACCGATGAGAGCACAACTGAAACTGATGGTGTGTTGAGCCCATCTGCAGACTTCATAGAGTAAGTCAACGTGTCTCTTGCGTGGCAGACACTGCTCAAGGTGCCTTGCGCCGATTGGCCCACGTCTGCTGCCGACCAATCAGCGCACGCCACAGCGGAGATGGGCGGTGCGTATTCGACGAGAGGCCACGTTGACTGCCGGCCTCGCACTGCGAGACGTGGACGAAAGAGCCCATGAGAAGAAGAGACGTAGGAGAGAGCAAGCGGGATAAAAACCGAATGACCTTGACAGTCGGCCAACTTACCGACAGAGGGATTTAGATAACATGAATTATGACTGTTTAGAAGAGCAGAAAAGACAACTCGCCATAATCAACTTGTAGATCTACTACCGATAAGCAGAGAGAGAGAGAGAGAGAGATCTTTCAAACACCGGAAACGCACATAATTGTTCAATAATTCAAACCCGTGCACAAAAACCGGTTTTCAGCAAGGAGTGAAACGAAGATCCCACCAAGAACTCTCAAAAAGCGGGCATTTTCGAGAAAAAAACTTTTTCGCGCCGTCAGCTGTCATTGCGTACTCTGCGGACTTTTCCCTTGTCGACCGTAGTAAGACCGCCTGGTTAGGGACGCTCGAAGGGTGACGAAATCGGGGACAGTGGGCGGAATGTACCGTGAAACTGCAAAATAAAAAAAAAAACAAAAATTGAAACATAGAATATGAACGAAGATAATTAGTACACCTTGACTAACAAGAGTACATATTTCATTAGCTGGACAGCACACATACTTCTTTGGGCTGGCACCAAGTATTACTTTGTAAACAATTCAAACCAAGAGGGTAAATAGAAAAAGGTTCATTTTCAAATATTTATTTGTTACTGGTCAAGGATAGCGGTCTAGTAAGGCATTACTGACGTACAAGATCGACGATTTTATCGCATTCGCAAATCACTCGAGCTCGGCTGACCTGAAAAAAATTGGAAATGAATTTTTCCCAAATAATTTTAAACCTCTGAACTCCACGATACCGCATTCCGAACGAACAGCCGAACACGATCACAAGTCGAAGTTAAGTAAGGGAAACGATAGACAACGGCGAAGTTTGATCCGTGTTGTCTGTAAAGATCTTTTGAACACTTTTTGAATTCGAAAATAGGAGTCCCAAAATCTTTTTTCAGAAGTTCTGTTAAATTTTTCTGTAATTCTCATAATCGTATTGCTGTATAAGTTTCTGAAATTCCTAGAGCTGAAAATCGAGCTACACACATTGGAGTTTTAGTGATTTCCGGACAAAATTCGTTTGTCGAGATCCCAGAATACTTTTGCAGTCTGCCTAGCTCATAATCCATATGTCTCATATTCCTCTCAACTGTTGCATTTCTCCAAGGAAATACGGTAATTATTATGATTTCTCCTCCAGCACAATTTCCAGTTTTGATTCTGAAGTATCATTCATTTTTTTAAATGGAGCATGAATCACAAACACATTATCTTTATGAACTGGTGGAGGTCGTGGAACCAAAGAAGCAAAAAGTGGAATCTGGGAAAGGATTGGAGAGAATTCATTGAACAATGGAAAATTTTGAATATTTGGGAACATTCGAACAGTGTGGCATCCATCCACCTAGAATTATGAAAACGAGCATTTGATTGAGACGAAAATCCAAAAAAGAACTCACATGGCCAACATAAACACCAAAAAATATGATTAATTCCACAACTAGAACGGAGGGAAACCGCATGGTCCTGCTCAAAGGAAGATTCAATGAAGAATAGTTTCACCATCATTTTTTGAATTGTTTGCTCGAAAATGTTCGAAGGAAAAGCTCCTGAAATAGAAAAATATATAAAGAAAGTTGGGCAAATATAGAAAAATGGCAGATTTTATAGATTATCGTACTAGTATTAACACTATTCATAACAAAAAATTCTGTCCGTTTATATTATACGAATTCTGGAAAAATTTTTATTTAAAAAAAGCCTGATCCTTCGAATCTACTTCAGTTAGAGGATTTCAAGAAAACCGAAGGTTTCAAGTCAGAGATTTCTGCAGACAGCTTCAAAACGCAACAACCAGAAGACGTGCTTGGCTATAAAGTTCGTCTGTAAGCAAATAGAAACATTTGTTTGATTTCTAGAATAAAAATTTTTTAAAGAACAATGAACAAATAAAAATAGTTTTTTCTTATTATGATCCGATTGCTAATGATTGCCTTCCATACTTTTTTTTCACAATTCTTTCCCCATTTGCTTACAGACGAAAGTTATTGCCAATTCTTAAATCTTCAGCCGCCGTTTGTACGCTTTTCGGCAACCTCGCCTTACTTGTGTAAACTGACTCTTCCATAACACCACTTGATCTTTATTTACTGGCTCCCCTTGATTGATATTATCACTAAAGTTTGAACGAAAATTTTTTTGTAATTTTTGGAGAGAATTCTAACAGTTGATTGTTTTTAGATTTTTTTATACAACGGAAATGATTTGAGTCAGAACATTGTCTCATAAGCATTGAAACATTGAATGTTATGTATTGTTTCTTCCGAATTCGTGACTAATAAAAGTCACATAACATATGATACGTACGAGAAGTTTCACAACCAAAAACTCGTTTATTTCTTGATTTCGCTAATTGAACATCATATGTCCTTTTTCGGGAATTAAGTGAGGAACAGCACATGATTGGAAGAAGCATGAGTAGCAAGGTTGTGCGGAACGGAATCCGGAATTACGGAAAAATTAAGGATCTTTGGAATAAAATTTAACCATCCTGTTTTGAGAGGAAAATCTTTGATTTTTATATTTTTATGTTCTGTTTCTATCGAACTGCATGGATCAACAAAAATCTATAGATGAAGATAATCCCAAAAATTCAGCATTTTCCGGGATTCCGATTTTTGAAAATTCTGAGAGTCTGAAATTCCAAACTTTCGAAATTCTGAAAACCTGAAAATCAGAAACTCAGAAATTCTGAGATTCTGAGATTATGAGATTCTGAAATTTTGAAAGTCGAAAAATTTTAAAAATTAGAAATCCTTAAATTCTGAAAAACGAAAATTCTGAGATTCTGAGATTCTGAAATTCTGAAATTCTGAAATTCCGAAATTCTGAAATTCTGAAATTCTGAATTCTGAAATTCCGAAATTCTGAAATTCTGAAATTCTGAAATTTTGAAATTCTGAAGTTCTGAAATTCTGAAATTCTGAGATTCTTAGATTCAGAAACCGAAAGTGCAAACTTTTGAAAATCTGTAAATCTGGAACACTAAAATTGGGATTAGCAAATTCTGAAAATCCATAAACTTGTAGTCTACGACTGTTTTGTACGAATCCATTTAAAATGAACGTTTCATACATTATGTTTTAGTTTACTACATATTTTCAGAAAATGTGAAGCTTATCGAAAAAATGTCCATTTTTTTGATTCTACAGAAATAATCATAAGATGTAAAAACGGTGTATTTTTTGTCCGAAATCATACTATGTCACTTATTAGTTTCTATCTTCTATTAATACACTAACAGGTCATTACCGTAGTCTACAGTATCCTCTTTCCAAGCATCCATCATTTTCCTAGTGCAATTTGCCTAATCCCGAGTTCATAGTTCACAAGAACTTTCTAGAAAATTTCCCCTTCATCATCATCATCCGCATCTCTTGAACAATTAGCTGGTGTTGGTCATTCTCTATCGGTCATTCAGTCAGAAATCCGACCGCTTCCTTTTCACGCAACTTTCACTCGTTCCGACCCGTACCAACACAACATTGCATAATGCGTACGCACTGGGACGGATCGTCGGATCGCCCACCCATTCTATCTCTTCGGACCGTCTGACGACCGATGACCCCTTTTGCGGGAGGGTGCGCAACGGGAAGCAGTGAAATCAAGAGAATTAGGTCAGTGAGAGGACGACTTTCGTTTTCGAATTTCATACTTTCTCTCTTCCCACACACACTTATACACCGGACTTTCTCTCTATTCAGGAAGGCAACAAAGTGTGATCTGAAACTACTCATGGCTTCATGCCACGAGCCATCTGCATTCAAGAGTCTCTGTGCTCATTCTTCAACTCTAACAACTTCATTTGATGTGTCACCATATGCCTCAGCTTTTCATCTTCCAATTCATCCAGCTCTCCTATCTAACTCTCATCTCTTACATTTAAACACTTATACTGTAAGTTATCTTTTCCGTTGAATGGCTGGAAATTTAAAGTTAATTTTTATTTTGGCTCCAGTTTCATGCGACTTTTTTCAGCCAACATCTTATGATCCTACGGAACGACTATTTGAACAAAACAACAACAACAGTGAGAAAGCTGAGGTACTGTAGAAATACTTTCTTCACACTTTTAATATTTTAATATTTACAGTCTTGTTCATCAAGAGGCAGTAGTCATGATTCCTCATCCCCTACATCCACTGGTGGAAGTAGTAGTCGAGATAACGTTATCGTGAGGAATGAATCAAAACGGAAGAAGGTAAAATACTCATCATTATCTTCTGTTTTTAAAATCAAAAACCGAAAGTTTCAGGATCAAGTAAAAGACGAAGCATACTGGGAGCGCCGTCGAAAGAACAATGACGCAGCAAAAAGAAGTCGTGATCAACGAAGAATCAAAGAAGACGAAATGGCGTGTAGGGCAGCGAACCTGGAACATGAGAACATGTTGCTTCGTGTGGAACTCGATCAGCTACGGGCTGAAACTGATAAGCTCAGGACGTTAATCCTCACTACACCATCTACATCTATCACTGTTCGTTAAAACATGGTCTGCAAGATTCTGAATGAATTTTATATTTACAGATTCCAATCCCTCTCCCCCCAGTTGCCCCAGCAGCATCTCTTCTAACAGCACAGCCTCCATCATCAGTGATAACAACTAGTCAAATCTTTGCTCCTCTCCCACTCAAAATTCCAACCACTCCTCCACCTACATCTCTTCTTCGAAGCACTGTACTTGTTAGCAACTCTTTGAAAACATGATTGTGTCTTTGAAAAACTGTTTTTTTTCTGATTTTTCAACCTTATTTGTAATTATTGATTAGATGAGCCAGTACTCCCAAAAATCGTGAAAGATATCTGTGATCCAATGAATTAGCCGATGCAAAGATGTAATAAATGTCAAGTTTTGTACGACGGAAAGACACCATGTTTTGAATACGCGCCGAAAACCTTCACAGGCGGCCTGGAATACGCACAAGTGGACTAGAAAAATCCGCAGTCATGTCGATTTACGGGACTTCTCCGAAAACGTTTTGAACATGAAAGAATGAAACAAGTCTTGTCTACTTGATGTTTTTTGTCTTTTTTACTATGAAATTCAATTATTTTTACTGGATTATTTAATTTTCTTTCCAGATGGTCACACAACAAGCGAAAATACTATGCTGTGGAGATGTTAACGGAAATTTTGTCGATTTGATTAAAAAACTAACAGTGACTGAGAAAAAGGTATGCTTCAAAGTTTGAAAAAAAAACATGAAAATGTTCGAAACATTTTCAGAATGGTCCGTTCGATTCTCTGTTCTGCGTCGGAGAATTTTTCGGAGACGATGACGAAGCGAATGAGAAAGTCATCAATGGAAATATCGAGTTCCCAATACCAACATATATTCTAGGTATTCGGTTTTTTATATTTAGAACGGCGAACATTTTATTACTTCAGGACCATCAAACCCTCGGTATAGCTATCTCTATCCGGAAGAATCAATCGAATTTTCTGCTAATCTAACTTACCTTGGAAAGAAAGGATTGCTAAACACTGCATCTGGTTTGCAAATCGCCTATCTGAGTGGTGTTGAAGGAACATCAAAAGAAATGAATTGTTTCGATAAATCTGACATCGACGAATTGCTCGTTCCACTTGGAACCCAAGTTGGTTTTTCGGGAACAGACATTCTTTTAACCTCAATGTGGCCTGCTGAAGTGGCTCGCCATTCACACAACCAACCGAGTAAGCCTGTCGCTGGATCAGTTTTACTCTCGAAGCTCGTTTCTCAGTTAAAACCACGTTATCATTTCGCTGGACTTGGCGTCCACTACGAGAGGCAGCCCTATAGAAACCATCGTGTGCTTCTAGAACCAGCTAGGCATACAACAAGATTTATTGGTACGTTGAAATCATAGATTTAAAAACTATTCACCTTTGTTTATAGGACTTGCTCCTGTTAACAATCCTGAGAAGCAAAAGTGGTTGTACGCATGCAATGTTAAACCAATGAGAAAAATGGAAAAGGAAGAACTAACAGCACAACCACCCAACGCATCGGAGTTCCCCTACAGAGAATTGCTAGAAGAAATGGCTGCTAAGTAAGTGTTAAAGTTCCTGTGTCATTGAATATCCCCATTTTTTACTGTCCCCCCTTTCAGGGAAACTCTGGATCGAATGAATGGAAAAGGACAGCGACCAGAAGGCTCTCAATATAGATTTGAAATGGGAGGGCCTGAAGATGGGGGAGGAAGAAAACGGCATAATAATGGAGGTGAGACCTTTATTATTTGACAAAAATATGGAAGAAGAGATTGAGGCTAGAAAAATAATTAGGCTTGTTGAATTCCTTCGAAAACGAGAACTCCGTGAATTGGTTTGTTTTGAGAAGCCATTGTCTTCATAGAGACGGTGTATTCCACTAGTGCTTCTCTGTATCGTTTGACTGTTTCCTCATCAGAGAAGTTGCTGATTCCGTATGTTGGGCTGGAAAGGGATTCTTTAATTTTATGAAACAGTGAGTGTAACAACTCACTTTTCGCTTGCCTGTTGGTACGAATTTCTTCCCATCTGCTGCATCTGAGTGTTACTTGCCAAGTTGGTAATTCCAAAATCATTCTCATCAAGGGCATTCTTGATTGAAGATGCTACAGATCCCTCCAAAATCTTTTTGGGAAGATCTGGTTCCGCAGTGATTGGACGACCGAGTCCGATTCCTTGAGTTGCTCCATTTTCGATTGCTTCCACCATAGCCTTGACAGTTCTGAATCCACCAGTTAAGTAAACGATGGTATTCTTGAAAACTGGACGAATCTGAAAACAGCTGATTGAAAAAATCTTTCCCGCACGGAATGTTTTACTTACTTTCTCAGCAAACTCCAAGAAAAATGCCTCACGATTACGAGTAGAATCACGCATGTGATGGAAAGCCAGCTTCTCATATGTTCCACCTGACAGCTCGACAAAATCAAATCCCTTGTCTTCATAAACCTGGCACATCTCCTTTGCATCATCCACAGTTGTTCCTTGCTCTTGGAACTCAACTGAATTGGTTTTGATTCCAACTAGGAAACCAGTAGACGCTGGAATTTCTGCTCGAATGGCATCGTATATCTCGAGGATGATTCTCTGTCGGTTTTCAATAGAACCACCGTATTGATCAGTTCTCTTGTTAGTAGTAGGAGAAGTGAACTGAGCCAAAAGATATCCGTGAGCTCCATGCAATTCAACTCCGTCGAATCCGGTCTCATGAGCGAATTTAGCAGCGTAGACGAATCTGTCGACAACTTGGGTTTTGATTTGTTCAACAGTCAATGGAACTGGCTGTCCAAACGCAGTGAAACGACGTTCTCCGCTCAGTTTCACATCAGATGCAGACCATGGATTTGGTTCCACAGTGATTGGTGTTTGACGTCCACCATGAGACAACTGGACGACGGCAAGAGCTCCGTCTTGTTTCATGTTCTTTGCCCATTTCGAGAAAAGAGCTCTTCTCTCTTCTCCATCGCCCTCTTTGAAAATTATGGCGTTTCCAGCAGACTCCAAATTAGTCTGAATGAAAACTATTATAGAAAATATTTTTAAAAAAACACTTACTGGGTCTACAAGCACATTTCCTGTGAGAATTGTTCCAAATTTTCCATGTCCCCATTTGTCGTACAAATTCAAAATAAATTCAGTAGGAAGTCCATGTTTCTGTGGGTTCTCCGGATCATAAGTTGAGACTCTCTCGGTCAGAGCAGCTTTCAAAAACCGATTTTGAGCAAGTTTTCCATTGCGGAACTTCAATTGCTCACCAAGAATATCAGAGGAAACAGTTAGATTGTCGCAGAAGCGTTTCACAGTCATTTTTCGTGGAGAATGGAGAACAAAATGTTACTCTCTGCCGTGTACGAGGCGGTCAAATATAGTGCGTTTTTTGGTCAACTAGGTTGTTAGGCAAACAGGGAGAGTGTATAGATACAGAGGAGACGGAGAGAAATAAAACGAAAATGCCGTCTCAGATGATGACAAAGTCGTCTTGTTTCGATGTGGTCTTAATGGTCACAAAGAGAAACTCAGAGAATGATGACAAATATGCACCTGGTTGCCCGAGAAACCAAGAAAGATGTATGATGTTTTTATATGTTATTCTTCGAATAATAGTAGAGATTCTGATCAAAAACTTGTGACTGGACACAAATTGGAAGAAAAAAAGTATCGAGTTTCTGCTCTATGAGCGGATTATAACGAGATTCAGTTATGCCAACCACTGATACATTTATGGTGGAAACAGAATAATGTTATCAATGAAAAATATTGCAACTTTTAAAATTTAATTGGAAACGATAAAAAAGACCTAATGACATACACAGTGTAGAAAAATGTAGATTCATCATGTAGAAACAAAGAAAAATCATTCATGTAGAAACAAAGAAAAAATTTTCAAAAAAGAAAATTCGAAAAATCGCTTCTCTAGAAAAATCGCTTCTTCTCACGATTTCTTGAAACTTCTGGAATGTTCTCGCATCTTTTTTGGATTGCCGCTAAAACTGAATACTCTGAAAAATTAGCGATTTTTTCGAAGAAAAAACTTTTTTTTAAATTAGAATTTTGCAAATTTTTAGACCTTTTTAGGTTTTCTAGTTATTTTCAAAGGTTCTTTCTCGTGTTTTTCAGGTTTTTTTGTCCGAAATTTGATGGGAAGGTTTTTGTGAAGATTACTGTAGATTACTGTTTGCAAACACAATCACGTCAAGATTCAGACGAAAGCAGTTTTAATCTGTATTTTAACGTGATGGTGTTTGCAAAGAAAACTACAAAATAGATGGTTTTCTTCAGTAATCTCCGCGAACACCATCTTCCAGGATCCTGTCAGGTTTCAGATGAAAAATTCGGAAAAATCAAAAAGAATTATCAAAAATAGCTGAAAAACCTAAAAAGGTCTAAAAATTTTGCAAAGAAACATAAAAATCGACTAAAAGCAGTGAAAAACTTTATTTTAAACCAGGAAATACAATAATTTTTAGGTTACGGCAGTTATTGTTGTGGGACGTTCTTAAATTAACTGCGATCTGGTTTTATAAATTGACTCTTAAATATCTTCTTAAGGTGACGACGGACCACGAAACAAGCAACCAGCGGGTCCATGCTGGTTCTGCCTCTCAAATGTGGACGCCGAGAAGCATTTGGTGGTGGCTATCGGAACTCACTGTTACGCTGCAATGCCAAAAGGGCCACTCACAGAAGATCATGTTATGGTTCTCTCTGTCGGACATATTCAGTCTCAAGTGGCTGCTCCTGTTGAGGTTCGAGATGAAATCGAAAAGTTTAAGAATGTATTCACACTGATGGCTAACAAGGTTCACCAGGGTTGAAATATCTTCATGACTATTCTTTTTACAGCAAGGAAAAGCTTTAGTGACTTTCGAAAGAAATTTCCGTACTCAACATCTTCAAGTTCAAATGGTTATGGTTGATAAATCTTCTACAAAAGCGTTGAAGTCGTCTTTCACATCGGCTGCCGCTTGTGCTGGATTCGAATTAGTCACCATGGGTCCAGATGAAAATGTAAGGCTTTTAAAATCGAATCTTGTTCAAAAATTATTTGCTTGTAGCTCCTGGACATGGTCAATGAGGGATGTCCATATTTTGTGGCAGAACTTCCCGATGGATCCAAGTTGTTCACAAGGAATATGAAAGGATTCCCATTGCAGTTCGGACGAGAAGTCCTTGCGTCCACACCAATCCTGGATTGTGAAGACAAAGTCGATTGGAAGTCATGTGTTCTTGCCAAAGAGAAGGAGACGGAACTTGTGAACAAGCTGAAAGCCGACTTCAAGCCGTTTGATTTCACTGCCGATGATGATTCAGATTAACTAAATATCTCTAATTTTTGACCGCTTCTTGTCCACCTAAAATGTTATTTATTTATTGAAATTCTTCTGTTCAATTTAGTTGCTTTGGTTTTTGTAATCAGTTCTCTGTTCATGAATATAAATTTGCTTTTTTGTTGTACTTAATTAACGGCAGTAAATTTTTTAAATTAAATTTATTGGTCAAACCACATTCTTTTGCGATAAATTCAACTTCAAATGCAACAATTCTAGAAATTTGCGGGGCACAATAAGATTGGAAATGATAGGTTGGTTTGATTAGAAGACATAAGAAAAATAAAAAAAACAAAAACGGAAGAATTTCGTGAAGTATTCAAAATATATCAAGCGAGGGGATGAAAAACATTTGAAATGGTCCTTTCGTTTCGTATTAGAGGAAACTAATCTCGGCAAGGTTATACAAACTAAAATGGCAAAACTACCCAATTAAAAAAGTTAGTGATTGACTGATTATGATTAAACAAATTAAGCGAAAATGTTTCTACCGACGAATCGTTCTTTGTTGAGGAAGTGCAGCAGACGAGCCTGAAAACCATAAATTGTTAGATTCGTTCATCTATTATTCTGACACAAAAATAGGAGCTGTGGAAAAGAAACGCCGGCGGCCAGGGCCGAAGATTCACTTTTCACTGCTTCTTGTCGAGTTTTCTGTTATTTTTTCCTCAAACGCGATAAGATCGGCGGAAAACGCACAAAACTCGAGAAAATGAATGCGGAAAAACATTTTTAGGTGTTTGTCGCTGTGAGACCTTCGCAACGGCAACACCTCCGATTTTTTGTAACGGCATAATACCGAAAAAAACATACAATGTAGACTTGAACAACACCAATAACAACGAACAAAGACGATGACAAGACGAACAAGGAAAAAACTGAAACAGGACGATACACAGATATTCCTAGAGAACATACAGTAATCTTACCTTCGGATAGAATCATTGCATTTGCCAACTCTTCACCGTTTTGGTTACGAATTGTGCACAGGTATTCACCGAAATGTTTCTTGTCGACCGAGTTGATCAATAGCGATGAATCGGTTTCAGATACTGAGATTGTGTATCCATCAAGCCCTGGGAAAAAACTTTTGAATTGATTTCAAAATATTAGAATCTGATCCTACCATCGATCAACTCGTTTCCACTATAGAACCAACGACATGTAGGTGCTGGCGTGCCAGAGAACGAAGCGCGCAGCTCTGCTCTGAAATCATAAAATTAGGATTCGTCATAATAAGTATTAGGTTTACCTGTTCTTCTCGCACGTTTGCACAGAAATCGGAGATTCGTTGAATTTCGGTTTCTCACCAACAGTTCTGAAATCAAATTGGTATGAAACGAACATTTAGAGCGCTGATAACTTACTTTGTGGATTGAATAACTGTCAGTTCCAACTCGGCATTTGCTTGTCCAGATGCATTGATCGCAGTCAACACATACTTTCCAGCATCAGCACGAGTCACATTGGAAATACGAAGGATGAACGTGTCTCCCTCGTTTCTCATCTGAAAGATATATGTAATAGAATCTCAGAGAAGATCAGAATCAGCAAAACCCTACCAAATAGCGTTCTTCATTGTTCAGTTTCTGATTTGCTTTTGTCCATGTGATGACTGGATCCGGATGTCCGATGATTTTAGCGCGCAGTTCAACGCTTGTTCCTGGATCAGTTCTCGTGGTTTGTTCAAAGTCAAATACTCGTGGCGCTTCGTCAGCTATTGATCGTTCGTTACCTTCAAAATGTCCTTTCAATCAAACCACCAGATGAAATCAATAACTCACTTCTAACGTCAAGTTGCATTGTGCAGCGCGCAATACCTGATTGGTTCTTGGCTTCCACAGTATACTCACCACCGTCTTCAGGGAAGACATCGGCGATAGTGAGGAAGACCTGGAATTTGAATTCTAGTTTTCATAATATAATAGTTTAATACCATCTTTTCAGATCTTGAATAACTGAATGAAGGAGAGTCAACAATGGTGACCTTGTTGCGGAGCCAACGGATTTGGAGTGGTTCGGAAGCCTGAACGAGCTCAGCAGCCAGCTCGACACGACTTCCGTCGACCACTTTTTTAACTGATTTTATCTTTTCGAATCTGAAAGTATGGTTTTTATACGAAGGTAAGAGAAGGTTAGAGGTACCTGAAGAGTGGAGGGATTCCTTCAGCAGCATTTGGATCCATTCCACTGACTAGCAGATTCATCTGAAACATCGATGGTGATCCTTTGATTGGATATATTTTTTTAAAACTGACATTTGACACAGCAGTTCCGTGTTCGTTGACAGCTTCACAAGAATATGTTCCTTCGTCTCCTGGCGCCACTGAGATGAATTTCAGTGATGCGCATTCACCATCATACGACATGGTGTACCTGAAATTAGAATTCAATAGGTGCCGTGTTCTTCATAGAAGAGCTTACCGGTCAGCTTGAGGTAATAGACGAACTGAGTTTCTTGTCCAGATGATTGACGCACATGGATATGCGCTGACTGAGCATTCCACGCAAAGAGACTCATTCAAGTTCGCCTGAAAATAAAATACTCTATAGAAACCAGATTTAGCTGGAAGGTATACCTGAGACCTGCCAGGCAGGACTTCTATGAAGTTAGGGGCTTTAGCCTCTTTCCGACTTCTCCGTTTAGCTACCTGAGCAGCAGAGTCTTCTTTATTGGGTAGCACATCGATCTGAAAACAGAACAATCGGAGTTTTATATTGTACCAAAAATGTTGTCATACCTCAGATGTACAAGTGATGATTCCTTCATTGTTTGCAGCTGTACAATTGTAGAATCCCTTGTCGAATGTCGAAACGTGATGGACCTGAAAACATATAACGACTTCAGAGAGGATACTTTCTAGGAAATACTTACCTCCAGATAGTAAAAGTCCCCGTCGTTATAGATAGAATACTTGTTACCAGTCTCCAAAATGATACCTTCCTTATCCCAATGAACTTGTGGCATTGGGTTTCCACTGATTGCAGTTTTTAGTCTCAGTGATTTGTACTCCTCGAGAACCTTCTTTGGTTTTGGTTTCACCATGAATTTGGGTCGACACACACGCTTATTACGAGAGTTGATTGCAGCACGAACCTCGTCAAGAGCAGTGTTGGCAGCACTTTCCGGTCGACTCTCCATTAAGTGTCTTGGTTCTTCGAGTTTCAGACTTTGAGCCAGAGCCTTTGCAAGTTTGTCGGCGTCATTAGTGGTGCTTCGGTGAGGACGCAGCTTCCTTCCCAGTTTTCCAGCGACGGCTGCAGATGCTCCGGCTTTAAGATCCATATCTTCAAGACCCTGCAAGAACATGGGCGCAGCTCCCTTTTTGACTCTTGCAGTGGCAGCAGAAGATGATGCTCTTGGATGTTCTTCGGAGAACGCAACTTTGGGTTGAACGGCAAGTACTGGCTCGAGAACGTGTTTGAATTGTGGTGGTTCTGCTTTTCGTCGTTCATCAGAAACATTCAATCTTCCGGCGGTTCGCAGCACACCGTGGATATTGGATGCTTCAACATAGTACATTCCGAGACTTGCCAAAGAAACGTTCTTGATGGAAAGTACACTTGTAGTGTCTGAAGGGAAAGTAATCTTGACATCTTTTCCTTCGATGATCTTCTTTTCGTTGTGATACCAGGTCAAATCTGGTGTTGGGAATCCAGCGAGTTCTACGGAGAATTCAATGGATTCTTTGAGCGGTGTCCAAGTGTCTTGAAGGCACTTTACAAATCTTGGTGGTCCTGCTGGTTCATCCGATAGTTCACCAACAAGTAGATAACATTGAGTCGTCGCTTTTCCAGATGAATTCGTAGCGACACATTGATATGTTCCTCTCTGTTCTCTCAACACACGCTCAGATTTTAGTTCTGCAACTTTTCCAAATCTGCATTCAGTCCAGCTAGTTGTAGAACTTGTCAAATTGGTCTTATTTCCAGAATCATCGATGTAAATCCATTCGAGAGTTGGTTCCGGAGATCCGGTTACATTGCAGCTTAAAGTAGTCGGATGTCCATTGACAATTCCCATATCAGTTAGTGGAATCGTGAATTTTGGAGCGACATTAGCCAAATCACTGGCTGGCTTCATTTTCTGTACGATGACTTGGGTTTCGGCGATGACAGTGCCATGTGGATTTTCAGCTTTGCAACTGAAGATTCCAGAAGTTTTGGAGACGACGCATTCTGCGATGAGATGACTTTCACCGTCTCCAGTGACGAAGTGATGATAGATTCTGTTTGTTCTAAGAATCTCTCTTCCGTCTTTGAGCCACGTGACTGTTGGTTTTGGCTCTCCAATTGCTTTTGCAACAAGAGTGAACTGTCCACTTTCATTGACTTCAATAAGGGATGGTGGTGCTCTGATGAATCTTGGCTTTTCTTGTTTATCATCAATGGATTGAGCAATGACGAGATGAGAATCAGTTCCGGTCGTTTTAGCAATCATAACCATACTGGAGGTGGAATCTACTCCAGAGACACTAGTGGCAGAACACACATAAACTCCGGTATCATCTGATTCAGCTTTCGAAATGATCAATTTGCAGTTTCCATTTTCATCTTGAATCTGACGGATTCTTCTGGTTGTTGAGATACGTTCTCCGTCTTTTGTCCAACTGATTTCTGGTGTTGGAAATCCTTCAACTTTGCATTCCAAAGTGATGTTATGACCAAGGATTGCTGTCGAATCAGAGAGAGTCGAAGAGAAGGAAGGGGCTATGAACTTGGTGATGTCTTCAACTGTGACATTACATTCACTTTCAGCATATCCATATTTGTTGGTGACAACGCATCTGTATTTTCCGGCGTCGTTGTATTGGACAGCATGGCAAACAAGTTTGTGATTTGATTTTTTATCACTAGAGAGCTCGAATCTTCCAGCTGATTCAATACGTTCATCACCATTGAACCAAGCGATTGTGCTTCCAGATCGTGAACTGATACGACAAGTTAACATGATTTGTTGTCCAGCTTGAACGCTTTCGTTGTTTAACTGTTTCTGTACAACTGGGACCAAATTGCGTTCGAGAGAATGATCGGGAGTAGACTGATGAGATGGCTCTCGGTTGAAAACTGTTACTTGACAGGATGCAGATGCTTGCCCAAGTTCGTTTTCAATGAAACAAGTGTATGTTCCATTTTCTTCTTGAGATTTCGATTGGAGAGTGGAAGATGTTGAAGTGGCGGCGATATTGATCTTATCATCTGGTACAACTTGAACATTCTCCTTGTACCATTTGACTGAAGGTGTTGGATTTCCACTGAACTCAACACTGATTTCAAGTTCATCGTCTCGGCTGATAATCATCTTTGATTGGGGAAGAATCGAAAACTGAGGAGCCTGTCCAGAAGGTGCTGTTTTCAGAGTTGTCATCATTTCAGCCCATTCACCGAGTCCTTGCTTGTTTCTTCCAGCTACACGAAAAATGTACTCAGTATTTGGTGTTAGTGATTTGACTTCGAGTTCAAGAGATTTTGAAGTTCCACACTTCGTCCATTCTCTTTGATCCGGACATCTTCTTTCAACTTCGTAACTGTCAGCAGGACCTTCGGAAGGAGCGTCGAACGCAATTGTGACTTGATCGGTTTTAGAGGCACCAGGTCTTGGAAGTCCCGGACGTCCTGGTTTCTTTTTGTCTTCGTCCTTCTTTTCGACCTTCTTCTTTTCCTTCTTTTCTTTGACATCCTTTGATTTGGTGACAGAGACTTCTGTATTCTGTCTCACTTTTCCTTTCTCATTCTCAGCTGTGATTGTATAAGTGCCTTCATCTTCAAGTCCAACACCACGAACCACAAGTTGATAGCTGACACCATCGCACTTTATCTGAATGCGCTCGCTTTCAACGAGTTCGCTATTATCCTTCAACCAAACCACTTCCGGTGTAGGTGAGCCATTCAAGTCAGCCTGAATGGAAAGCGTGGCGCCTTCATTCACATTGATTTTTGGCTTTGGTTCAATGATGAAATAGGGCAGTGAAGCAGCAACTTTCCTAGCTTCGGATCCAGTAATTGTGAGTTGAGCAGAAGTGTGAACATCTCCGAATTGGTTTGTGGCGACGGCTGTGTAGGTTCCGCATAGCTCATCGGTGACGTTCTCAATGACAAGCGTAGCAGTGTTGTCGTCGAACAGGCGTGTTTTATAATTGCCGTTCGTCTGCTGCAACGCCTTTCCATTGTGCAACCAAACTACTTGGGCGGCTGGATTAGCGTATGACTGACAAGTGAAAGTGGCTGTCTCTCCAGCACTCTTCAAAACAACGTCCTGCAACTTTTTGACAAACGTTGGCATCTGTGTGACGTGCTCGGCGGCGTGTGGTCCTTCGACAACAACACAAGCTCTCGTTTCGACAGCTCCCAATTTGTTGCTCACTTTGCAAACGTACTGTCCGTTATGCTCTTCATGTGCTTCATAAATCTTCAAGAATGCAACACGTCCATCAAAGTAAGTTCTCAAAGTACGGCTCTCAGCAACCAGCTTTCCATCATGGTACCATTCAATTGTTGGTGTTGGGAATCCGTCAACTTCAACTTCAAGAAGTTCACGATTTCCTTCAGTAACAGTTGCATCAGCCAAAGGTCTCGTAACAACTGGTGGTCGTTGAATGTCTCCTCCAAGAACTGACGGAGATCTGCTTCTACTTCTGCTTCTGCTTCGTACTGGAGTCAGTCTTGTCTTCGCTAATCCCATATCAACAACTTTAACAGTACAGTGAGTAAAGTCTTTTCCAAGAGTGTTGACTGCTTCACAAGTGTATTCTCCAGCATCATCCATCACAACATTCATTATATTCAGACGAGAAACTCCTTTACGATCAGTGTATTGGAGCATTCTGTTCTCAATGATCAACTTTAGTCCATCCTTGTACCAAGTGATGGCTGGAATTGGTTTTCCAGTTACACAGCATTCGAGGACAATTTCGTTTCCTTCGCAAGTAGAACAGTTGACCAATGGTTCTAAGAATTTTGGTTTAATATGATCCTTGTCAACTGCTTCCTTAATTTCGACAACTGAGAAACTTTGAGCAACTCCATGGATATTTTCTGCTTCGCAGACATAACGACCTTGATCTTCATCTCTTGCTCCGATGATATGAAGTGTACAAACTCCATTTTCATGTCTTACTTGCTTGTTGCTCATGTCGATTGGCTGATCGTCCTTGGTCCATCTGATGTTTGGATGTGGTGTTCCAGAAACTGAGCAAACAAGAGTTAGGTCTGATCCTTGTGGTACTTCTCTTGGAGTTGGAAGTTGCATTCGGAATCTTGGAGCCTTTGATCCATCGATCTTCTTACTTCTTTTAGCCAACAACTCCTCGATTCTCACACAACAAACTGTATGTGCCTTTCCGATTTTATTCTTGGCAACACACTTGTACTCTCCACTATCTTCTGCGTACGCATCGATGATAGTCAAAGAGTAGTTGCCACTTCCATCGTCGAATTGGAGTCTATGTCTTTGTGAATGCTCGATTTCAGCTTCATTTCGGAACCAGTTGATTTCAGGAGCTGGATTGGCTTTGATGTTAACTTCCAGTTTCAGAATGTCAGATTCCGAACACTTGACATCACTGAGTTGTCTTCCGAACGAAGGAGCAAACTGTCCATCAGGAACGACAACAGTCAGTTTTCCTTCACTTTCACACTCTCCAAACGCATTCTTTCCAACAGCTTTCCATTTTCCTTCATCAGTAGAATCCACACTCAGAATATGAAGTTCATAACGTCCTTTGTCGTGTTTTTGAAGGTAATTGCTATCCTGGATACTAATGTGTTCTCCATTATGATACCATTCAACTGTTGGTTCTGGAAGAGTCGTGTTGGTGACAACAAGAACTTTGGTTTCTCCGATCTTTGCTTCATCGTCTTGGAGTAGATGATGGAAGTTTGGTGGCATATCGATCATTTCCTCCACAACCACAACTTTGGATGTCTTACGATCTTTCTTCTTCTCAATGACAGCTGGAGAAGTTTCAGACTTCTTTTTCTTTTTATCGTCTGATTTCACAGATAATTTGGCATGAGTCATGATACTTCCCAAATCGTTTGTAGCTCTGCATGTGTATTTTCCGGCATCCGATTCGACAATATTCTTGACCGTCAATTCAGCAAGTCCCTCATTGTAGAAAGAATCATACTTCATCGAGGGAACTGTTAATTCCTTGTCGTCCTTGTACCATTGAACCTTTGGACTCGGAACTCCATCGACATCACACGAGAGGGTAGCAATGAGATCACCAACATTAGCCACAATATCTTCCAGTTGTTTCTTGACACTTGGGGCAGCATCGGTATCTGAAAATTTCATTTTGATTGGTAAATGTAAGGTTGGGGACTCACCGAAAGCAATGTTTCTCTCGAAAACTCCATCCATAGTGAGTCTTCTGAAGATGGCTCCTCGTTTGGCAAGACGTCCAATTGGCAGAAGATCGTCTGACCATCTCTTGAGAGACAAGAAGTTTCTCTTCTGTCTTGCCGGAATGCCACTCTTGTCTGGTTTCGGTTGCATCTTCTGAAATGTAAAACTTGAGAATTTAGAAGCTTCGTATAACACAGAAAACATAAATTGAACACAAAAACACAAATAACCATACCTTAACATATTCGGACAAATCATTGAACGCAGACAATAACGGACCCTGAACACAACACAATGAACACAAAATCTCAAACATTCAAGCCTACCGTAATCCATGGATGTCTTAGTGCATCTTGAACAGACATTCTCTTTCTCTTATCCTTGATCATCAAACGGCAAATGAAATCTTTGGCCAAATCAGAAACATCATCCCAACTTGGGTCGTCAAAGTCCCAATCAGCAGCGGAGACGTTAGCCAGGGTGTCCTCATCGCTGTCCCCGAGGAATGGTGACAAACCAGAGAGAAGCACATAAGAGATAACTCCGACTGTCCACATATCGGTTGAAAGTCCAACTGGTTGGTAGTTCACAACTTCTGGAGCACAGAACTCTGGTGTTCCGAAGAGAAGTTTGACGCTCTTCTTGGGATCCAGTTTGCGTGCAAGTCCAAAGTCAATGATTTTGAGGTCGGTTGAGTTTTTGGCTTTGAGAAGAATGTTTTCCGGCTTCAAGTCCAAGTGAACTATTTGGTTTTTGTGCATGTGGGATACTCCCAAGAGAATCTGATGCATATAATCACGAACCTCTTCTTCACTCATCAATGAATCATCTTCCAGAATCTTTTCGAAAAGTTCACCTCCAGATACGAATTCTTCGATGAGCCACATTTCATTACCCATGTCAAATGCTTCGTGAAGATTCAAAAGTTTTTCATGATGAAGTTGATTCATCATCGAAATCTCATGAATCACATTTTCCTTCTTCACTCCTGGTCTCACTTGAACCATTTTGGCAGCCCAAGTCTTTCCAGTTGCTCTCTCTGTGGCTCGGTAAACAGTTCCATAAGCACCTTTTCCAAGTTCTTCATGAATAATATACTTGGCTTGAAGATCATTCGGAAGTCTATGAATATCAATCGTCTTGTATTCTGATGGACCAGCTTCCTTTGAAATCTTCTGATAGTCAACGGATTCTTGTTCCTTCATCTTGACCTCTTTTTTTTTCGGTTCCTCCAGAACTCGGCTGTTATCCTTGACGTACACAATTTCTGACTCCTCAGATGGCTCTGATTGCCCGAAGGTGTTATCAGCACGGACACGGAAGGTATAATTCTCTCCGGGAACCAGATTGAAAAGAGTGATGAAAGCTTGTTTAGTGACCTCGGCTTTAGTCCAAGTCTTGCTCTTTTCCTGCAATGAGGAAAATTTTTGGTTTGGTCTCCACTGGAAACGGAAAATAAAAAAGCGTTCTCCAGGGGCTACCACATGGATTTGCATTTGAAGAGAGACGACAACGATGTCTCTTTTATTCTTTTTTTGAACTTACCGTGCACATTTCAACTGTGTAATTGCGAACTGGAGATCCTCCATCGTTAGTCGGAGCTGCCCATCGAAGTCTGACTGAATCAAGATTCTGATCTTCGACAGCTGGTTTGCCAGGTGGTGCTGGACGATCGGTGACCTGGAAAAGAAACAGTTATTCGTAGTTTACTTTGTTGTTTCATATCTTTTTCTTATTTTCTTCTTCTTTTTCGTTCTACTTTTCGTTTTTTATCATCTCACAATACCAACAAATGAAGTTTGCGAAAAAATTCGCACATCTATGATGACGAAGGAAGGGTGCCAAGATGGAGAGGAATAAAGAAATAAAACGAGAAAGAGAGGGAGGGGTGGAGCTGGTTTTTTGGGTCTCTCTCTCTCTCTCTCTCCAATTTGCACAAAGTATTCCGAATTGGCTTACTTCCAATCGCCCCATCGAATTTACTCCGTCCCTTTTCCCATACTCTTTTTTTTCGAGACGATAACAAACTTTCTTTTTTTATTCTGCCCCATTCCAAATTTTTTCAGACTCTTCAACAACATCTAGAACCATTGTGACTACTTTTCATTGTTCTCCGAAAGATTGCTCAAAACGCCTGATCAATGGTGATTCCGACGGTAGGTCATATAACATCGAAAAGCGATAAAAGCGGTTGAGTCAATACAAAACAAGAGTGATGATGAGTGGTGATTACTACTAGGAACAATTGTGTTGTGTCAATATGATTTGCCTGCGATCTGATTTTTTTTCTCTGTGAAAACCTTTCGAACAACTGGAAATGGGTAACCACATGAGGGGGGGGGGGGGTTCCGAAATTCCGCCAGATGAAATGAACTAAAATTCAAAAAAATAGGCCAAAGGGTTATGGAGGGTAATGAGAGCATTCATCGAAATGGTGATGAGGTACAAGTAAATGATTAAAAAATGTAACAGAAGAGTCATATCTTTTAACTTTGAGCTAATTATCTCGGTCCCTGTCAAATATACAAAATAGTAGTCAACTTGTAAATTTTTTTCTGACATTTTGATAAACAAATTATCAGTTGATAACTTTTCTTATATCTTTGACAGAAACCGAAAAACTTGCCTCACAGTTAAAAGTTAGGGACCCTTCTATTACAAGTTTTACGGCATAATAATTTGTAGCTTACAAATTAATGACCAAAACCGCAATAGCAAAAATAATACCAGAATTTTTTTTGTCAAATCAACTGGTACCTTATTTTTATAAATTTCAGGGTAACAATACAATGGTGGGAGCTGGTGGGGAATGGTGAGTTTCTTTTTAAATTTTGGTTTGAAACCAAAAATCTGTAATGCTGAACACTGAATGAAGGAATGATGATGCCCGCAATAAAAAAGTGAATAATAAGTGGTGGTAGTGGTAGTTGGTATGATGATGATATCGCATTTCATTTCTCCCCCATCATCCTCATAGTTTTATATTTTCATGTCTTGTGATCTAACTCTGATTTCTGTGATTCTTGCACTGATCTAACTCAACTGGTTATTTTCTATGAAGAACTGGTAAGATTTGTAGCTTGCGCGGAAAATTTTCAAATCATAAAACACACCTGAATTCCAATGGCATACTTGTCCTCTCCACATCTATTCTTGATCTTCAATGCGAATTCTCCTTGATCTTGGGAATCGATTCCATTGATTGTGAGCACAGTGTTGAGAGCAGTCTTCTCGATCTGTCGAACCATAATATATAGTGGACACATATGAAAAATATGGGGAAGAATAATTTGAAATTATGCCAGAAGGGGGTTGTGTCTCATTTAGTCTCACATCCTAAAGATAATAAGAAAGAAGAGCCTTTTCTCTTTTTTTTTCTGTCTCTCACTTCATCAACATCGACCCTTTTCCGGACGTCCATCAAATTAAACTAACTTTCTTTTGCTTTCCTTTCTTCACCCAAAGTCATTTTTTGCCTATATCACTATCTTCCTTGTTCTCGAAAATTCTCATTCGTCTTGAAACTTTCTTAAGTATTACTTTTCCATGCTATTAAAAAATCGGTTCTCTATTTTCATATTGTCGTTCAATATTTTTTGGCGGATCGTAAAACCCTGCGGTCCATAAAATTTTCCATACCCAAGTCTCAAGCGACCACAGGTGCATAAATTTCCACTAGAAGCTTTATACCACTTGAAAAGTCACTAGACGGGGGGGGGGGGGTCCATGGATAGAATTCATATTTATCCCAAAGAGGAAGTCTCGTCAGATTCGGTTTTTTCCGAACCTTTTAGTGTATAACTTTTCTGTCTTGAGTTTTTTTTTCTCAGATTAAACAAAAACTGAACAGGGATTGACATTGTAATCAAGAAAAGAAAGCTAGATGCTGGAATTTAGCATTTCAAAGCAGGTGAAAGCTATGACTTTCTAGGTTTTACATCAGACTTGGTTTTTGAAAATGTTGAACGAATTCTGTAAAACCTTTAATAAAAGGGCCGTTACCCGGCCAAGTTTGAGTTCCATTATCTTCATTCCAATGCAAGATATCAAAAATGTGTCAACTGGTAAAAGTTTTGTGATATTATGATAAACAATTTATCAATTGAAAACTTTTTCATATCTTTGACAGGAACCGAGATAAATTCGCTCAAAGTTGTTAAAGGCCCTTATACTATAGGTCTTACGGTAATTGATCAGAAAACGAGAAACTTAATTTTGAAACCTTTCAAAATTACCGCATTTTCTCTATTTGATCAGCACCTATACTGTTATTTTGAACCTAATTTTAAACCAATAAAATTCTTGATATTTCCAATAAATATTTTGTCAATTGAAATTCGTTGATTTATCCCTCAGAAGTTAGGATGTTTTTAGTACAGACTATAGCAGAAACATCGCGTGCTCTTCTATTACAGAGTTCAAAAATTGAAAGCTCTAAAAAAATGAAAGCTCTAAAAATTAGATTCTCAATTCCACAAAAAATACACCCTGTCGGTTTGGAATGATTAAAAATTCTCACCTTCATTTTTCTGGATTCCTCAATAACCTTTCCATTGTTATCGATCCAGATCACTTCTGGTTGTGGTCGACCTGAAATTCAAAATGTTACAAATTATTTATCTTGACCTTTTCATTTAGAAAATCCCTGAAGTTCAAATCTCCCCATATTGTTCCATCTGTCTCCATGACATCCCCTTCTTCCGAATCTTTTTTTCATTCATTCATTCCCTTTTATTTAATGGACCCCATCCTCCTCTTTCTATTCTTTCTGTGATGTTTTACACACATTTTCCAGGCTATATTCCATTTATTTCTACCAAAAAGTGATATGCATTCATCAAGGTGAGCTCTCTATTGCGTCTTTTCTAGATTTCAATTTACGACTATGCTACCAGGTGAAAAATGGTTGGATAAAAAATGAAGTTTAGTCACTTACAACTCACTTTTCTCGCATATTACTTGCCCTAGTTGCGCTTTCTAAAAACCATCAAAAACTTGTCTTCAGATGAGGTGAGCTTCTTCTTTTTTGAAAAAAAGTTCGCCTGTCCTTGCTCCAGAATAACCTAGCATATAATCTAGTTGTCAACGGCGCGTGCGACTAGCGCCCAGTTCGCACATATGTGCCCTCCCATGACCAAAACCGGACGAAAATTCTGATTTTTAAATCTCTAAAACATCGTTTCCTTATCCTTGGGACTTTGCCCCGGGACCCCATCTTTTTCAAAATCTTCTTTTCCTAAGAAAAACGAAAAACTGGAAGGCGTGGCCTTCTTCTCCTATTGCTTCTTCTTCTTCCTTTCTCCCTTCTTCTCCCGTTGGCACTGGTGGCGGTGGTGGTGAGAAGAAAGACACGTCTTCGTCGATTTCCTACGTCTTCGTCGTCGTCTTCTTCTTCTTTTCGTCTCCTCCTTCTTCTTTTCGTCCGGGAGCCATTCGTTTCCAACATCACCGAACTCATCAGATCCCAAGATATTTACACGCACATCGAACTCATTTATTCATTCATCACCTGACGATCGAAGACGTATAAAAAGTCGAAGACGAAGAGAAAACGGAAGAAAAAATACAAGACTTCGTCTCTGACAAGTTGGTGTTGATTGATGACCGACGTCGTCTCCGGATGACTACTACAACTACTACCTAGCATTGATATTTTCTATAAACTACCGTAAAATCAGATTCTAGACGTTCCCAGTCTAGGAATCCCAGAAATCAGTCAACAATGCCGACCATGTAAGTCTATGGATCTTTGAGTACATTTTTCTGGCGCGGCGTTTCATTCCTACAACTTGTTTCCTGGTTTTTTTGTTTCTTCAGGTCCATCTTTTTACTCATCCTTCACTTTTTCGTCTCTCTATTTCCTCGTTTTCGCACACCAATTATCGTTTCTGTCAAATGCATTTACCACATTGACTAAGCACAACAAAACTCTTTCTCGCTCCTCCATCTGTTCAACTGACTTTTCGTTTTCAGCATTTTTTTGTCTTCTTGAACAATGTAACCCAGATTAAGCGAACTTGTTTTCTTTCCTATCTGTTTCTTTTCCACTGAATACTCTCAACCCTTCCAACCAAAAAACAAGAACAACAGAGCCAAAGAGTTTTCCTCCATGAGCTTTTTCAGTTTCCAGAAAAGCTAACATAATCCATAATTGGGGCTGTAGTAGAAGAGCAACAGCTTCAAGTGTTTTATTATTATTATTTGTATTATGAAGCAGAAGAAGAAGAAGCGTATAGAAGTCTAGAAAATAGAAGAAAAAGGAGGAAAAAGAAATTTATGCGAATAAAAAGATGACGCCTTCTTTTTTCTTCTTCATCGGTTCTGAATTTGTGGGAATCAGAGGGTGGAAGACGTCTCCCCCAAAAATAGATAAGAAAGTATCGAATTGCCGAGTCAATCCCTGACCTCGTCATTCGAATTCACTCGTCATCTGAATTTGAAAGCTCTCGACAGGTGTCACTTATCAAATTTTCATCCGGAATTATAGGAAAAGGCTCCAGCAGAGACATCAATCATATTATAATCCAATTTCCTTCGAAGAAATAGGCATCAGAATTCATATTTGATATTCTGATCCGAGCAGACATTGATCCCAAGTTAGCTGAGCATTGTAACGCTAGCATTGGAAAACAGTATCAAAAAAAATCCTCTGAAAATTTCTCTGTTTTCTCAATTCCTGTTCAAAAACAAGAGGTCATTTGTTCGGCCAACACCATTATCATAAAAGCGGTCTCAATCAAAGAAATGAATGAAGTCGTCTTCCTTGTTCTCTTCTCTTTTTTTTCAATTCTGTCATCTTACGACTTCTGCCTCGTCAGTGTAATCACTTTTTGAGCAAATGGACCTAATCCCGGAAAAACCCATCGCATTGTGCACCGACGCCTTACGACATCAGCGTGAGAGCATCGTTTTTTATGGGGTGACAACCTTTTCCAGAGCGAAATTCTCCAGTAGGATGACAGATGAAGAAAGAAGAGCAACAATAAAAAGAGAAAGAAGAAAACGGAATTTATGCAAATTGAGTTGAAAATAGGTGACACTTGGTCAGGTCCAGTTTTATGGAAAGTATGAAAAAGGTTTTTCTTTTTGGAATCCACGAAAAAGTCCTAGACCTTTTAGATTCTTTCTTGTTTACCCATTCTCCAAAATCGTTTTGTTCAACGAAAAAAAAAAACATTGAGCTACCGTAACCCAGTTTTTTTCCCAACATTCACCCACAACTCATCCTATCATATTAAAATCTATGTGACACGCGGTGGACACCTATTTTGATATTCTACCCTTGCATCGAGATTGAGTCCTTTCTCTCTCTCTCTCTCTGGAAGGGCGGTGCTCCGTGTTTCTTCACTAAAAACTTCTTGTTCACATCATATGTAACCGGAAGATATTAGTAAGATTTTAACAATCTTTTTTCTTAATAATTTCAATTCTCCAAAGTATATAGCGCATTTCATTTTTCTCAAGTGTTCTTATGAAGGATTTGCACTGAGAAGAGATGAAATTTTGGAACTGGAAAATTGAAATCTGATCCCGTAGGCATACAAATTCTAAAGGAAACGATTTATGGCATTTCATTTTTATAGAACACATTAGTTTTAATATGATATAGGAAAATAGGAATTTTAGGAATTTCAGTCCCCGAGAGATTCATTAACTTTGTCTGGGAAATTGGGTTGAGCAAAAACAAATGTTCGTTTCTATACTAATGATTTTCTCGCAAATTGGTTTTTTTTCTAGCTGCTTGGAAAACAATATATCGACTAACTACCAGAAATTCTTTCCGTCTCTATGTAATAACTCTTACCAACTCTCTTTCTCATCCTAAATTTATCAGTTTATCACCAAATGATACGCGCATCTCGTACTACTTCTTTCAATCATCATCATCCACACCTACACAATCATCACCAACAATCAAGCATCGGAGGATTCGATGAAGAGGAGTAAGTGAATAAGAAAGAAGTGAGGAAAGAAAAATAGTTAGCCCAGAAAAGACTGTAATCCCATGGGACATTTACTCCCATTACATTATTCTGTTCCCAAGAAAAATAGATAGAGAGAGAGAGAGAGAGAAAGGAATATTCTCATTCTTCATTCCGATTTCTTATCCTACTCCCAGATTCTGTCACCACCCTTCTTAAATTTGTTTCCAGATGTTTGTGATATCCGTTCCTTTTCCCATTGAAATCTTTTCCTCCCCAATAGATCTTTGACCCTATAGTTTATGTACGTCTCAAGAAATGTTACTTATTGCGCGACGGATAGTCTATCTCTTTTTTTCGTCTGGCCACCTATTTCTCAGCAAGGAATAGCAGTAGAAGCAAGAAGCAACTAACGAAAATAAATCGAAGGACAACAGCATAGCAAACAGGAGACAGTCGATGAGAATTGAGTACTCTGCACTCTCCATTTTCCGAGACTTTTTCACTTACGAGAGCTCATTTCCGCCCATCCGGATGGGAAAAAGCAGAGCAAATCTTATCATCACTTGGCACTTTGGATGTTTTGGTGTCTGTTAATGTATCCTAATGTGAAATCGTCGTTTTCGACTTTACTTTCGTAGCAGAAAAGATTCATATTTAGAAAACTACAGTAATCCTCTACAAGGATCTGGATTATGAATTGAAAACGTTAATTTTATCAAAACGACTTCCAAACTACCCTAGATTTCAATTCCACTATCAAGAAACATTGCAGACACTATCAAGAAACGTTGCAGACACTGTTAATATAAAATTGACATGTCTTTTTTTTCTAATCTAAATTTAACTTCCATACAATATTTGCTCATTGGCTATCTTGCACACAAATCTTGCAACTTTCTCCCGATTTTTATTCTGACCCCAATCTACTCTGATGTTACTTGTCAAATAGAGAAAATCCTAATGTTTTAGGAGCTTGTTAGCAACAATTGGCAGCCGTTCATCCATATGAAATTCTCATTCCCTTTTTTCTTTTTCTTTCGGGGAGGCCCCTCCCAAAGACGTCTTCTTTAGAAACTCTATGCATCTTCTAGTTTCGCGTTGACTGGTTGTACAGATTCTGGATTCAGCTAGATTATGATTTAGGAAATTGAAAACTAAACTATGGTAATCCACTGAATGGATTCAATTTTTTCTGTGTAAGTTTCGATATCGATAAAAAATTGAATAGAGCTACTTGCCAGCAAGAAGACCCAGCCTTCTTCATTTTGTTGTATGCTTAAATGATTATGTTGGCAGAGTTCAACTCAAGCTCTCCTCCTCCGTGTTGTGTTTTTTTCTCGTTTCTCTATCATCCGTTACTGTCTCAAAGGGAGCAAAGATCGTAGAGATAGGAGAACTTTTTCAACATTAGAAACTGTGGTATCGACTTCTTTTTATTCTCTTTTCTTGACCCAAATACCCAAAGAGACAATGGCTCAAGTGGTACTCATACTGGTCAAATGATTCCTTTTTTCTTTTAGACACACGAGACTACCAATAATTTGAAATTTCCTTGAAATTCAAATCCCTCCATCCAGTTTTTTTCTAGTTCTGACCCACCATCCAAGTTCTCCTTTTCGATCTTTTGCTATTGAGAAATATTTTAGAATCGGTCTAGTGGAAGAAAATTTATAATCGAGTAGGCTCAGAGGTTACACAAAGATGGGAGAGAGAAGAGGTGCTAACCGGGTCCATATGCATGAAGCAAAACAAAAAAAAGCGAGCGGTTCGAATAGAAAATTTTGACTTTTCAATTATTACTCTGGTGTTCGTTTTGCCGGAAATTAACAATGAAAATGGCTCAGGCCAGGTAGGTCTCGGGGCTCCCAACTTTTTGTTTTGTTTTTGTTGTTCTAGTGAAAAATGGTAGAGGAACGTTTTGAGATATTTTCAAATTCTAGACTAAAATGATGAGTTGAAGTTTGTTCTTTCAGTAGTAATGAGCTGGAAAAATCAGAATAACGTACCGTAAAACCTATAATAGAAGAGCACCCATACTGCCAAGTTAAAGCTCAAGTATCTCAATTCCTATGCAAGATATCAACAGTCAAAACACTTCCGACATTATAATAAGGAGTTTGGAGAGAGAAATTGACTGAAAGTTGAAAATCGGGGCTCTTCAATTAGAGGTTTCACTGTATTTATTTCGTTCCATAAAAATCCAGCATCAATCAACTAGCTCTGATCATAAAATGTATTTCCTAGACCAACAGAATGCAAATGAAGTTACCGTGTTAACTTTCTGAAATTTTAGTTTAGTTTTCTAGATCCAAAACTGTGTCAAATTGCCCTTCAGACTTATCCTCATATCTTTTGTCACTCTCGACATTTTTGTCCTCATTCTCAAGCAAACAATACCTATCATTTTCACAATGTAAACCTACAAGTGTACCTTTGCTTAACCCGTCAGATCATCCCTTCGGTCCCTATCACATATTTACTTTTGCTCCTACACAATCTTACGTGCGGACTCTAAGAGTTTATCGTCCTACAAGAAGAAGAAGCACTTTCAATTTTCATCCGAAATTTTTTCACCCGATGGCGTTCGTCTCATTCATTGTTGAATAGATAGATAGGATCTAACCGAGCATTTTTCCATCGTTGTGCAATTGAAAACATATGTTTTTGGCGGTTTTCCGATTTGATTGGATGAAAGAAATACGAATCGGCGACAAATCTCATCTCACTCTCCAAATTTCTTTCCTTTTCTCTATTTCTTCATCGTTTTGGTTCATATAGAATTCCAGAAATTCTAGAGAGATTCTTGAGAGTCATCATCGTAAATCAATCATGTTGCATTTCCTCCATCTCTTTCTCCTTCTTCTAGTAAGTGGATAAAATGGAGATGTCGAAAAATGGTGAAACCAAGACCACAAATTTTGTTGCTTTCTTGACTCCCCGGCCGTCTTGGCTTGCCGTCGTCGTCGTCTTCATACTTGGCTCATATTTGGTGGCTAATACTTACACATATTCATATATGTAGCTGTGTGGATTTGAGAGAGAAACAGACACAAATTCCGTCGTATCTCTCTTCACACCTGCATATCTTTTTCCCCACTGAGCACCGTCGCTTCTCTCCAGTGGCCACTCCGGTAGACTTTGAGCACCGAGCGCGGTTTCCCACGCGACGAAGAAAGAGAAGGCAAGGCGTCAATTTAGCCACCTGCTGTCAATCCTTCTCCTGCTCTCTCCTGCCCTCTTCCTCTCCTTGCTTCGATTCTTCATATCTTCACACCTGCCCCTGGAGGAGAGCCCATTCCAGCTGCCACTGCTCATAAAAAGTGACAAGGACCTTTTTCTTATCATCTGCCATTTATCAGCCGGTGTTCTCGAGGAGTAGACCACCATGGCATGTGCTAGTATTTCCTACTCGGCTCTGGCCTACAACGGACAGTAAGTTTCTCTCTTTGAATCAGAATTTTACCGGAAGCTTCTAACTTCATCAGAGATTCACGTCACGCATTCTCATCACATCATCTCCTTCTTTTCCCTTCTGTTCAGTGTTGTTTCTTCTTTCTCCTTCTGTTTCTTATCTTAGATAGAAGAAAAAGCTTCACTTTAAATGTGTCAGTCCAATTCTCATCATCCTTGACACCTCTCATCTTGTCACGCACACTTGTGTAGGGTGACACCTTTCTCCTACTTCTCTTAAACCTAATTCTGAACACTGCTGAAAAAAAAACTACTGAAACTACTCGTGAATCTGAAACATTCTAATGGCTATCGCAATATCGCAAGCGGTTCTAGCGCATCGAAATTCTGCAGCGACTTTCACGGTCCCTGGCTCAACGGAGCAACTAAAATTCCATAATTACAGGGTAACCGGAAACATGATCAGCGGGTAAGTTGTGGTATTTCAAATGGCTTGCACTTTCTTTCATATTAACTTCTTAGATCAAATTATCGATCTCATTTATCCTTTCATGCATGAGGTTTTCCTGTTATGAAGTGTTGTTTGGTGTCTTGGCTTTTCTTTTCCCTATCACTAAAACTGAACTTTAAACCAAAAAAAACCTGCGGGTGTGATGCACAACCTTCTTTTCAGAACCCCCATTAATCTTCTCTATTGTTTCCAGGGCCGCACAACAGCACAAAAAGCGGTTGATACCGCTGCGTCGGACTGACGCGATGACGTTGGCTGAGCGTCGGAACTATCAGATTCTAGATGATATTTTTCGTTCTGGAGGTTCTGATTGTTTTCAACAAGTCACGGCAAACAGTTCCAATGAGAGTGGTAACCCTCAGTTTCTGAGGTTGAACATTGGAGGAACGAGTTTTATGATCTTGATCGATGCGATCCTTCGTGCTGAATCAACTACATTTCTCTCTCGATTCATCCAGCTCACACACACCGCCAGACTAAAAGTGAGCCCCAAAAAGAGAGGATAATCTCATCTTGTTATCTCTTCTTTTTCTTTCAGGTCGCTGACGCCTACATCTCTTCTGACGACGCCTACTACTTTCAACGGTCACCGACCTCATTTGAAGCAATTTTTCAGTATTATGCTACTGGAGTCGTGCATCGACCTTCTGAGGTAGAAAAATAAAGAAGTGAACTGGAAGAAATATATGAAACGAGTGGTGATTCATTGTAGATTTGCCCTGCTTCGTTTCTTAGTGAGCTCGACTTTTGGAGGATATCGCATCAGCATGTTGGATCTTGTTGTGCGGATGTTATTCCACAAAAACGGGAAGAAGAAAAGGAAGAGGAAAAAGTGATTGTGATAAAATCGGTTGCAAGATAAAAAATTCCCTATTTTCAGGTTGATGATACTACATTCGATAAACTAATGTGCGGAAAACTAAGAAGGCGGATGTGGACATTTCTCGAAAGGCCTGGCTCCTCAATGCAGGCAAAAGCTTTTGAGCTTTCATCAACATTATTCGTGGCAATTTCAGTTATGGGTCTCTCTTTCGGAACAATTCCTGATTTTCAAGTGAGTCTTCTTTTTTTGTCACCACTTTCCCAACCCAATAAATTTGCAGGTAACACATCTAATGCCTCCTCACAATGAAACAATAGTACTACCAAATGGAACGGTTACCGTAGTTCAAAAAGTCGAACAAATGAGAGTAGAACATCCAGCTTTTGTTTTCACCGAAAGGATATGTATCGCATTTTTTACTGTTGAGTATTGCCTGCGATTTTTCGCCGCTCCAAGAAAACTGAGATTCGCATTGAAACCATTGAATCTGGTCGATTTATTGGCCATCGTCCCATTCTACCTGGAGCTTCTTCTCACTCTTTGCGGAGTCGACGACCGGAAATTGAGAGATCTTCGATGGGCCTTCTTGGTTGTTCGAATTCTTCGAGTTCTTCGAGTTATCCGAATCATCAAATTGGGAAGATTCTCATCAGGACTTCAAACGTTCGGAATGACACTTCAAAGATCACAGAAACAACTACAAATGATGACAATCGTACTTCTGACGGGAGTTGTATTCTTCTCCACGATGATATATTTCTTGGAGAAAGATGAGGAAGGAACACCATTTACAAGTATTCCAGCAGCGTATTGGTGGTGTATTGTAACAATGACAACAGTTGGATATGGAGATGCAGTACCTGCTACAACTAGTGAGTTCTAATATTCTAGAATTTATGAATATTCACCTTCAAATCTTCTAATTTTCAGTGGGAAAAATCATTGCATCAGCAGCAATTATGTGTGGAGTACTTGTGCTTGCTCTACCTATCACTATCATTGTCGACAACTTCATCAAAGTGGCTCAAGACGAACAACAAGCAGAGCAACAAAAAATAGATCAGCATAGTGAACAACTCGCGTTGGAAGCCATGCTTAATGCCCATGACTAGTATATCGAATATTTCAAATTTTGATTGATATTACGAGTAATTTCCTTGAATCCTTATCCATTGTAAGTGTTATTTTATTTTCTTTCATAAATTTCTATTTTCTCTAATTGAATATTTGAATTTTTATTGAAACCAAAACCAAAACCAATTCAACTTAAACGGGAACTTTGTCTTTATCTTTCATCTTCTCTCCTTTTCCTTCTTCATATTTCAATCTTTTTGACGACATCTGAGAATGAAGAAAAAGACGAAGAAGAAGCTGATTCCAATTTCTTCTCGACTCGGCATATTTTTTGATTCAAAGCCGCTTTACACACTCTTTCCTATCCTCTCATATCCCACACAAAAAACAGAGAAGAACACGCTAGAGCTCATAAAAAAACGAAGAAGACATTAGGCCATTTCCTCTCTTTTTTCTTTTTCTCCCTCTACTTCGCTGGATTATGTGTTGTTCGTTTACATATCAAGACCCACCTCCAAAAAGGAATGAATGAATGAAAATTTTGATCCGAAGAATTTTGAACTCCCACAATCAGTAACAAAAAATAAACTAACCAGAGAATGAGAGTCTCAGTTTGACAGTCTCTCCTTTATCGAAGACAAGTGTCGAAGCATACCGATCGACTCGGTTGATCTCCGGAAGTTGGTCCATTGTGAGTTTGCATGAGTGCTCCACTGAGCCAACGGTGTTCTTGACCACAATCTTGTACTCGCCTGAAAAGAAATGTTTTTGGGTTCAGAGAGAAAAAGCTAGAAAGAGGCGATATTCAAATTTTGAGTGACATTTGACATTGAAGGGTCAGGTTTCTGGTTACTCAACATCTTCTAGTTACTCACCTTCGTCGTCTTCTCTCATCTCTCCAATCGTCAACGAACTAACTCCAGATACATTCTCAATCCACTGTCTTTTTCCAGAGAATATTTCCTTCTTGTTTTTGAACCAATGAACTTCTGGAGATGGGTGTCCGGTGAACTCTGCTGTTATTTTACTCTTTGTGTTTTTGATAGCTGTCAAGTCGGCTGGAGCAGATGTGATCGCAGGCTTTTGGGATTCTGAAATTAAAAATATTTTTTTAACAGCACGAGATTCTGAAACAGTGTACCTTTAGTATCCTTGCATTCAATAGCTTCACTTTGCTCTGACGTTACAGTTTGGCCAGCTTTGTTTTGAGCAATAACACGGAACAGATATGTGGTTCCTTCTTTGAGTTGAGCAATCGTAGCAGCACATTCAGAACATTCTTTAACAGCAACAGACCATGGACGTTTGGAATTCGATTCTTTCATCTGAACTGTGTAGGTGACGTCATCATTGTCAGATGCCCATTTCAGAGCAATTGATGTGGCAGTGGAAGAAGTGAGTTCTGGTTTTCCAATTGGCTTCAAATCGGACGTCTTCTGTTCCTTTTCTTCAGATTTCTCCTCTTTGATTTCAACTTTCTCCACTTTCTTTTCAGTTGCCTTCTTCAAAGTGTTCAATTTTCCTTCCAAAGCTACACCAGTTCCCATAGTATTGATAGCAGAAACTTTCACATCATACGAAGTATCAGCTTCCAAACCATCAACCTTGAACTTCAACTCCTTGGTCTTTCCACATTGTTTCCATCCTTTGTTCTTTGATTCTTTCCTTTCGACATTATATTCGGTGATATCACATCCTCCATTATTTTCTGGTGCTTTCCAGCTGAACTCTGCAGTGTTTTCAGTAACATCATCATAGACAATCGGTCCGGTGGGAATTCCTGGTGCTCCTTTAGCAGCTCCCTTTATGCGAAGTGCAATCTCGACTTTTCCTTTTCCAGCTTCATTTTCTACATTGAGCTTGTAGATACCAGCATGTCCTGAATCAGTCTTGTTGATTGTCAACTGAGCCGTTCCGTCGGCAGAAATCTGAGATTTCACATTTCCATCCTCTTGAACGGGTTTGTCGTCTTTGGTCCAGTTTACAGAAGTGGCAGGCTCGGAAATCTTGGCAGATAATTTTGCAGTGTCGCCAACTTTCACTTCAACAACAGATTGCTCAGCTTCAACTTTTGGAATTTCTGGGAGTTTAACAGTGACCGCAATGGACACTTCTTCCTCATCTCCTTCAGATGACTTCACTTTGCATGTGAATTGTCCTGATGCGTTGACATCAACTGTTGGGATCTTGACAGTTGAAACACCTCCTTGATTGGTGACAGTATAGGAAGCATCAAGGGCTTTTCCGTCTTTCTTCCATTCAACTGAAACGGCAGTTTCGGCGACATGAGCGGAAATCTCTCCAGTTTTTCCAGAAATTAATTCCACTTTCGACTTATCAGCTTTGACAAGACCCTTCTTAGCAACCTTCTTCACAACTTTCTTCTTCTTTTCAGTCGAATCTTTCTCTGTGGCTGACCTCTCAGCTTCCGATTTCTCTGCGGTCTTCTCCGGTGCGTCAGATTTTCCAGTTTTTTCATCGGTTTTCTTGGCACTCTTCTCAGCTTCGGATTCAGCTTTTTTTTCAGAAGCAGTAGTTACAGATTCGGCATCAGAAGTTTGAAGTGATCCTCTTCTCGACTCATCTTGAACTTTTTCAACAGCTTTTCCTTTTTTCAACTTCTCCTTAACTTCTTGAAGAGTCTCTTCGCCTTTGTTTTCTGGAACTTTCTTTTTGGTCACCTTCTTCGTCTTCTTCTCTTCCACAGCTTCGGATGCTAAATCTGCAGAATCTTTGGGCTTTTCAGTCGAAACAGTTGTCTTCGAATCATCTACAGCTTCCGATTTCTTTTCCGCCTTTATTTCTGGCATTTCGGATCCTGGGACTAGAATCTTGACTGGTTCCGTTTCTTCACTTGGACTGGAAACAGCATGAATTCCGGTGGCAGTGACTTGATAGGTGTACTCTCCAGATTCAGTAAGCGAACGATCCTTGAACTTGTTTCTGTCGGTGTTAGCAATCTCTAACCATTCTGACTCTCCAACCTTCTTTCTTTCGATCTTATATAGACTGGTCTCTGGACATTCATCCCATCTCAATGTGACCTTCGTTCCATCCGCAGCAACAGTAACCTGTGGGGTCGTGAGAATAGCAATCTTTGGAATGAACAATTCAGATGACTCGCTAACGGCTTCTGAACTCTCCAAAGTTAGAACATCAACAGTTTCGCATGGCTCAGATTCTCCAACTTCATTGACAGCAAGAATTCTGAATCCGTAAACTTGATTACAGAAGAGATCCTCAGCAACGAAGGTGAGTTTTGTTGGTTCAACATGCCCACATGGTCTCCAGCGGTTGTTGTCAACTCCCTTTCTTTCAATCACATATCCTGTAAGTGGAGCGCCATTTGTTTCAACTGGTGGTTGCCAAGAGAGGAATACACTATCTTCGGTGACATCCTTGAATTGCAAATCGAGTGGTTCAGATGGTTTATCGATGATCTTCAGTGCGATCTCCTTGACACATTGACCTAATGGACTTTCAGCAATGACGCGTACGATTCCAGAGTTGTCAAGTGTTACGTTCTTCATTCTGACACTGATCGAATCGTCATACTCGGTGACTGTAGCGATTGCCTTGATTGGTGTTCCATTGTTAGCCATATGAATTGTTGGAACTGGGAATCCAGTGAATGCAACAGTAAAGTCGAATTCATTTCCAGCATGTACTGTGACTCCTTCACGAATCTCCTCTGGAATCGTCAAGCTTGGAGCTACTTCGAATGCAAGTTTGGCTGGAGCAGATGTTTCTTTGTCTGATACTGAAGCTGTGTAAGCTCCAATATCATGCTTGTCGAAGTTCTTGATCTCTAAAGTGGCACGTTTTCCATCCGAATCCATCACAGCCTTATTCATCTGTGGCCAAATCTCAACTCCGTTCTTGAACCATTTAACTTTACGGACTGGCTTTGATGTCTCACAGAAAAGAACCATGGTCTCTCCAAAGGTTTTGACAATAGCATCTTGAGGCCCAACAAGAATATGTGGTTCTTGTTCGTTGACAATGACTTCTCCTTCAGCACGACTTCTTCCATCAGTGGTTTCACATTTGTAGACTCCACTGTCAGCATCAGTCGAACCCTTGATTCGGAGTGTTCTCTTTCTAGCCATCGCATAGAATTGGACACGATCACTGGCCACGAGTTTCTTTCCATCCTTGTACCAGTTCACGACTGCTTCTTCATCCGACACTTCACAAGTCAATTCGATGTCATGTCCTTCTTCAATTTCAGTGAGCTCCGAGAATGAAGAATTGAAGTGAGCACGAACGTCGCTGATGGAGACTTCGGCTTCAGATTCAGCAGTTCCATGAATATTCTCGACAAGAACCTTGTAAAGACCAACATCTTCTGAAGCAAGCTCGTGGATAATCAATGCACTCATTGATCCTTCATTGACGATTTCGGTGTTATTATCCATTGGAATGATTTCCTTTCCATCCTTATACCAAATGTATTCTGGTGCAGGGTGTCCGGCAGCATGACACTCCAATCTCAATTCACATTTCTTTGGAATTTTGACAGGCTTGATAGCCTTCAAAACTCTTGGAGCATCATCAGCAAGAACAACAACTGGAACAGTTTGTTCACTGAACTCTCCAGTTCCATGTTGATTTCGTGGAGCAACGCGGAAAACGTATGGGATTCCTTCGCGAAGACCATCAATGATACATTTCGATGTAGCCGCGGCTGCCTCTCCAATGTCAATACTGGCCCAAATAGAAGAACCATCGGATTTGTATTGGACAACGAACTCGTTCTCTCCATCCGTCTTCCATGTCACTTCCACCTTGTCATTATCTAGAACCTTGACCATTGGAGCGTCAAGAATCGTTTCTGGAACGAGTCCTTGCACCATCAACTTTTCAGAAACAACATTAGAATTGGAGCGAAGTCCTGCTTCATTGCATGCTTCCACCTTGAATTCATATTCCTTTCCAGAGGAAAGTGCTCTCACATTGAAGCTTTCCGTGAAAACAAGCTCATCTCCATTGATCTTCTGCCATTCACCTCCATTTTCTCTCTTGTAAACATCGTATCCATACACTGGCGATCCTCCATCATCAGTCGGTTTTGGCCAATTCAACGAGCAAGATGTAGATGTCACATTCTCAATCGTTGGTGGAGATTCGACAGTTGGAACTTGGAATGGCGATCCAGTTTGAACTGGCTTCGTCTCGATGAATTCTCCGGTTCCGAACTTGTTGACAGCCGCAATTCTAATAATGTACGGGGTCTCGATTTCCAGGTCGTCAATGACGTGAGACGTCTTCTTTCCATTGACACTTCCGACTTTGTGGAACTTTCTTCGGCCGCTTTCTTTCTTCTCGATGACGTAGGAAGTGACTTCTGCTCCGTTGTTCTCTGCTGGAGCTGTCCATTCAATGTGGAGACAATCACTTTCAACCTTTACAACGGAAACATCTCCAGGGGCAGATGGAGTGTCATTGACCTGAAAAAATCAATATTGTATTTAATTTCGACAGTATTGCAATGTTCTAAAAACTATTTTTGTACTCACCTTGACATCAAACTTCTGAGTAACCTCTCCAAACTCGTTCTTCAATTTCACTTCATACTCTCCTGCATCATCTTTGCTAACTCCACGTTTTGTTAATTTCAATCCATCATCCACAACATCGATACGACTGCGTCCATCGAATTCCAGATCTTTTCCATCGACAGACATTGAGAATGTTGCTTCTGGATTGCTGTCATAAGCGACATGAATGGAGAATTGATCATCCTTATCAACCTGAATAGATATTTCGATTAAAATTTGATCTGAAATTTCAAATGCGCAAAGGAGAATTTATGCAGTGATTTCGGGATTTTGAAATGGAAAAATACAAAATGCAGAGGGAAAAATTGCAAGCCTAGGGCAAAAAGTGAAACAGGCGCAAACCCTTCCGGGTAGATTTGGGGAAAAAGTGACTTACGAGGATCACCGGTTTCTTCTCCGATACATTTTTCAGAACTGGTTTTCCTTGAATTGAGAGGTGCGTGCTGCAGTCAATACCATCACAAACAACTGTATACTTTCCACTATCTTCATATTTTGCTCTTCTGAGAGTCAGAGAGACTGAACATCCAACAGTGTCAATTGAATAGTCCTTGTTGATTTCCAATGGTTTTCCGTTCTTCAGCCAAACGACCTTACTGATGTCAACTGGATGGTTAAGAGTGACGGAGATTGTGACTTCTTGTCCTTCTTTTCCAGATGTCTTACGTGGCAAGAATTTGACAAAGTCGACTGGAAGTTCTTCAACCTTCAGGGTCGTTGTATGAGATTCTGTTCCACATGTGGCGGTGATTTCCATGCCAGAATCACTAGGTTCAACTTGATCAATGATAAGCGTACGGAAGAATGTATGAGTCATTTCATGACATCTTGCATTCAAGTCAGCATCCTTTCCGTTTACCTTCCAGGTCACCTTGTCTTCTTCATCGACAAGTTCCACTTCAATTTCCACATTATCTCCACGCAAAGCGAGAGTTTCAGATGCGAAGGTTGAGGCGAAACCAGTACGACGACGTCTGCGTCGGCCTTCAGAAGAAGTCTTGCTTGAGATAGATTGCTCATCGTCACTGAAAATAGCAGAAGATTTTCTTCTTGTCATCACATCTTCAATTGATGGTTCATCTTCCTTCTTCGTAGATTCTTTGGCCTCTGATTCGATAGCAGAATCAGTAGTGACCTCCTGCTTTACAACAGTTTCAGTAGTATCTGGCTTTGCAGTGTCAATAGAAGAGGTTTCACTGATCACGGAATCGGATTTCTCCGTCTTCTTCTTCAGAACCTTCTTCTTTGGTTTCTCTTCCAAATCATCACTGATCTTGGATACATCTGCAAGACTTGCTTCACTGGCCACGGAATCACTCTTTTGAGTTTTCTTCTTGATAACTCGCTTCTTGGTAGTTTCATCTGACTCTTCTGGTTTTGGAGGTTTTCCTTCTACCGGCTTCTTATCATCGGATAGAAGTTCCTTCTTTTCTACTTCAGGTTCTTGAGGTTGTGCAGCCTTTTTGATAGTAGCTGATGTTGATTCATCAGGTAATTGTTCAACTTTTTCAGCTGGTTTTTCTTGAACAGTGAACTCCGACGAAGTATCAGCCGATGATATTTGGCTGATCGACGAATCTGATTTATCAGTTTTCTTCTTCACAACCCTCTTCTTCGGTTTGGTCTCGTCAGATTTTCCGAGCTCGGCCTCTTTCTTTGTTTCAGCCTCCTTCTTGGCCTTATCTTCAGCCTCTTTCTTGGTTTCAGCCTCCTTCCTGGCCTTCTCGTCAGCCTCCTTTTTGTTCTTAGCCTCGGAATCCTTCTTGGCCTTATCATCAGCCTCCTTCTTGGCTTCAGCCTCCTTCTTGATCTTAGCCTCGGCTTCCTTCTTAGCCTTCTCGTCAGCTTCCTTCTTGGTCTTAGCTTCAAGATCCTTCTTGGCCTTGTCGTCAGCCTCCTTCTTGGTCTTGGCTTCGACATCCTTCTTGGTCTTAGCCTCGGCCTCCTTATTGGCCTTCTCGTCAGCCTTCTTTTTGGCCTTGTCGTCAGCCTCCTTCTTGGTCTTGGCATCATCCTCCTTTTTGGCTTTATCCTCAGCCTCCTTCTTGGCCTCGGCCTCATTCCTGGCCTTATCATCAGCCTCCTTCTTGGTCTTATCATCAGCCACTTTCTTGGCTACAGCCTCCTTCTTGGCCTTGTCGTCAGCCTCCTTCTTGGCCTCGGCCTCCTTCTTGGCCTCGGCCTCCTTCCTGGCCTTATCATCAGCCTCCTTCTTAGTCTTAGCCTCGGCTTCCTTCTTGGCCTTTTCGTCAGCTTCCTTTTTGGTCTTAGCTTCAAGATCCTTCTTGGCCTTGTCGTCAGCCTCCTTCTTGGTCTTGGCATCGGCCTCCTTCTTGGTCTTATCATCAGCCTCCTTCTTGATCTTAGCCTCGGCTTCCTTCTTAGCCTTCTCGTCAGCTTCCTTCTTGGTCTTAGCTTCAAGATCCTTCTTGGCCTTGTCGTCAGCCTCCTTCTTGGTCTTGGCTTCGACATCCTTCTTGGTCTTAGCCTCGGCCTCCTTCTTGGCCTTCTCGTCAGCCTCCTTTTTGGTCTTAGCCTCGGCTTCCTTCTTAGCCTTCTCGTCAGCTTCCTTCTTGGTCATAGCTTCAAGATCCTTCTTGGCCTTGTCGTCAGCCTCCTTTTTGGTCTTGGCATCAGCCTCCTTTTTGGCTTTATCCTCAGCCTCCTTCTTGGCCTCGGCCTCATTCCTGGCCTTATCATCAGCCTCCTTCTTGATCTTAGCCTCGGCTTCCTTCTTAGCCTTTTCGTCAGCTTCCTTCTTGGTCTTGGCTTCAAGATCCTTCTTGACCTTGTCATCAGCCTCCTTCTTGGTCTTGGCTTCGGCCTCCTTCTCGGCTTCAGCCTCCTTCTTGGTCTTATCATCAGCCTCCTTCTTGGCTACAGCCTCCTTCTTGGCCTTGTCGTCAGCCTCCTTCTTAGTCTTGGCATCAGCCCCCTTTTCGGCTTTATCCTCAGCCTCCTTCTTGGCCTCGGCCTCATTCCTGGCCTTATCATCAGCCTCCTTCTTGGTTTTAGCCTCGGCCTCCTTCTTGGCTTTCTCGTCAGATTCCTTTTTGGTCTTATCATCAGCCTCCTTCTTGGCTTTATCATCAGCCTCCTTCTTGGTTTTAGCCTCGGCCTCCTTCTTGGCCTTCTCGTCAGATCCCTTTTTGGTCTTATCATCAGCCTCCTTCTTGGCCTCGGCCTCCTTCTTGGCCTTATCATCAGCCTCCTTCCTGGTTTTAACCTCGGCCTCCTTCTTGGCTTTCTCTTCAGCCTCCTTTTTGGTCTTAGCTTCAAGATTCTTCTTGGCCTTATCATCAGCCTCCTTCTTGGTCTTAGCATCGGCCTCCTTCTTGGCCGTCTCATCAGCTTCCTTCTTGGTTTTAACCTCGGCCTCCTTCTTGGCTTTCTCTTCAGCTTCCTTTTTGGTCTTAGCTTCAAGATCCTTCTTGGCCTTATCATCAGCCTCCTTCTTGGTCTTAGCCTCGGCTTCCTTCTCGGCATTCTCGTCGACTTCCTTCTTTGTCTTAGCTTCAAGATCCTTCTTGGCCTTTTCATCGGCCTCCTTCTTGGTCACAGCCTCCTTCTTGATCTCAGCGTCAGCCTTCTTCTTGGCCTTATCATCAGCTTCCTTCTTGGTCTTAGCCTCGGCTTCCTTTTTGGCCTTATTATCAGCTTCCTTCTTAGTCTTGGCTTCAAGATCCTTCTTGGCTTTGACTTCAGTTTCTGACTTGACTTCTTTTTGATCTTTCAATGGTACGGCCGCATCAGTAGTCTCCGGTGCATCATCCTAAAAAAAGGGAAGAGTGCATTTGTGCGTTGGGGTAGAATTTGGGGATTAAGAGCAGGATGTGCTCGAGGAATGACGTGATTCGTGCATCACGAGCGGAAAAAAGAACGCTTGGATGGTTTGAATTTTGAGTGAACGAAAAAAAAAGAGGAGAACCATCCAAACACAATCATGCGAATACTGACTTACCTTCTTCTCAGACTTCTTAGTTGGAGGAAGTCCTTCCTTCTTTCGTGACTTATCATCAGGAGTCTCAGAACGTCTCTTGAAGGAGAATTCGGCTTTTTCTTTAGCGCTCTCCACCTGAAAAAAGAATGGGAACGGTTTTTTTCCAATGTAAAATACACTCACCTTCATGGAAACGCTTGCTGAAAGTGGTTCAACAAGAGGAGTCTTGGCATCAGCACTTCCTTCTCTTCCACGGATTGTGGTTGTGATGTTGGTTTCTGAATGCATTGTGCTTGGATCTCCAAATCGAGAACTGATTTCATCAGGAATAAACAATGCTTTTGGAATCTGTTTCTTCTTCTTTCCATCTGATGGTGGTGTGCTTTCTCTTGATGATGGTGCCTGCGATGTTTCCTTTTTAGCTTCCAACGTCTTCGGAGCAGCATCAGTAGCTTCCTTCTTTTGTTTCAATGTTTTCTTCTCGGCTCGTTGTTTAGCATCAGCCTCCTTCTTAGCTTTCTCATCAGCCTTCTTTTCATCTTCACCTTCGGTTTTTCCTTCAGCGACCTTCTCAGAAGTTGCCTCGTCTGTCTCTTTTGCCTTTTTGACATCAGATGTCTTCTTTTTTTTCTTTTCAACAAAAGTGTCACCATCATCCGTCTTCTTTTGTACAGCCGTTTCAGACTCAACCTGTTCCAATACCTGCTCAGATTCGAGTGGCTTGGCATCATCAGCTCCCTTCGTCAAATCTTGCTTTTCGGTTTCTGCTCTATCCTTCTTCTTGGTAACCTTCTTTTTAGCTCTCTGTTTTGTCTTATCTTCGCCAGCTTCACTCTTTTCGCCTTGAGAAACTGCCTCTTCTGCAAGATCAATTGACTTGTCATCATCTCTCGATTCTAAAACATATGACACGATTAGTGTTAGAACTAAAAAATGATTGGAGAAGAATCATTGTTCTGATGTATCAAATTCCTACTGAATCTCGTAATACAAAACATGTAACATAAACACACTAAACGTATACAAAGGACAAAACGACACCTTCGGACAAATGGACAACGACATCAGAGAAACACCATGCTTCTCCAGCTACATTGATAGCTTGACAGGCATATTCAGCTTCTTCGTCTTTGCAAATGTCCTTTAGAATCAACCAATGCTTTCTCATTTCGTCTTCATGTCGGACTTCGACCTGAAAATTCAAATACGTGAAAGTTAGTAATGCTAAAGCTCTTTACCTTTTCGCCACTGTCATCGCCGATCAGTTTTCCATCCCGATAGAAGCGTACTTGAGGTTCGGGCTCTCCCAATGTCTCCACCATCATTACTACATTATCGCCAACAATCGCATCATGATCAGAAAGAATTTTATCAAATCGTGGAGGGATGAGTTGAGTTAAACGGGGAGCATTAGGATTCCTTCTTTCCACTACTCTCTTTGTTCTTCTCTTCTTCCTCTTTTTCGCATCATCCAATTCAGAATCAGAAGAGGCTTCAACCACGCGACGTCCACGTTGAAGACGTCTTCTTCTATTGAAATGCTCATCATCTGGATATTCTTTGCAATCAACGAACACTTGGAAGTTGCAACTGTCCACTCCAGCAAGATTTTCAACCAGAAGACTGTAGTCGTCATCATCCTCGAAAGTGCAGTTAGCAATTCTTGCTTCGAATTCCCCATCAGAATGATAATCGAGCTGATATTTTGTAGATGGTGCCATCATATCAATCTCTCTTCCATTCTTAATCCAAATCAATTCTGGAAGTGGATATCCATCAACTTTTCCAGTCAACGTGGCAGTTTCTCCTTCCTTCACTTGAACATCTCCAACTGGATCCTTGATTTCTGCTGATCGATGTATTTCTGAGTAGTCGTCTATGAAGGATCCAGAATCACGGACATCAAGGAGGATGGTACATTTGTCGACTCCATAGTCGTTCTTTGCTTCGAATACCAATTTGCCTCCGTCCAGCTTCCGAATGTCATTGATTGTTACGTTGAACGAGTGTTCAGATCCTTTGGTGAATCCTTCGAATGCCATTTTGTCAAAGTTTGCAACAGGATAGTCATTTCGATACATTCGAATCTGGAAAACTTCGGTTTTGAATTTGCAATATTGTCTTTCATAATCATAATTTAATTTTAGTCTGATCAAAAAATACCAAAAAATAATTGTTAAAGACTTACCAAAGGAACATCATCGGAAACCACTTTGATAGTGAAAATGACAACATCTCCCTCAATACATCCGATATATTGCATTTTTTTGGCAAATGCTGGAATTCTCATTGCCAGTTCTCCAGCACCCATGTACTCCTTTGGATCTCGCTTCTTTCTCCTTCGTTTTTCAACACGAACGCCATTTTCATCAAAAGTGATACTCTCAGCATCACTGAATTCTCCGTCTTGAGATATTGCAGAAATGATGAATTTCTTCTTCTTTTTCACTTCTCCAGGAGCAGATGTACTTGTTCCTTGTTCTTGTTCTGAATCATCGGACCAATCGACAGTTTCTGATTGACAAATTCGAAGAGTGAGCTCTTTTTGTGGCATATCCAGATGAGCATTGGCACTGGAACTTGATGGTTTTGAAAACGATAAGTCGGTGTCTTGAAGAGCCAGTGAGTCGGAATCTTTTGTTGTTTGAAGATTTGATTTCACACTGCCATCATCTTCCTTCGATGACAAATCAAAGCTAGCATTCCTTTCAGCGAATGTTGATTTTTCAGTTTTCTGCTTTCCAGAGAGCTTCTTTGACGTTTTCGACTCTTCATCTGGCTTCTCGAAACTAGAAATCAAATTGGCTTTTGCATCTTTTCCAAGAGTATCTTGAACTTTAACAGAAACATCGGATGCCATATTACCAGAAGCAGCTAGTTCGTTCTCAGTTGATTTGTCAAACGAAACTCCAGAATCAGCAACTGAGAGGGATGTGGTATCGTGTCGGCCATCAGCTGCTGACAAATTGTCAGATACTTGTTGCTTCTCCGATTTCTTCTTCAGAATAGCTTTTCTTTTGCTTTCAGCATAGCTATCCTCTGCAGTTGCTTTTTCACTGCTAATGCCGACTGTCGATGCTTCTTCAGAACAATCCTTGTTCAAAATAGAATCGAAATCTGTGAGTGCGAGGGAATCAGATTCCTTGTTTTGTCCAACAGTTTCAGAGATTTGTGAGTTATCGCCAGCTTTTTTCAACTTATGCTCACTCTCCAGTTGAGAAAGAGAAGTTGAATCATTTTGGTCTCCCAATGATCCAATCGATGCTCCCTCGTTTTCAGAATCTTTTGACAGAACTGCATCAGATGACGAAACTGCAAGGTTATCTACTTCTTTCGAGGAACCAATCGATTTTTCTGTGGCTGCTTTCTGTTTCTTCGATTTTCTGACATTGAGTTCTTGTTCACTGTAGCTGTCTTTATTTTCTGATTTACCAATAGAAACTCCAGCTGCACCTTCCTCATTCTTGTTCTTCAAATTAGCATCTGTATCAACAATTGAGAGACCTGAAGATTCTTTTTGTTGACTACCCATATCCTTATCAGTAGACAATTCACTTGTTGGCTTTTTAAAAGATGAATCCCAGCGTTGATCACTATAAGAATCCTTTCCATCTTGTCTAGATGCTTCAATCGTCGTTTCTGTGGACTCTGGCTCTTCATGATTTTCAAAACCAAAATCGCTTCCTGTCTCTCCACGAATTGGTTTTTTCATCTCGGAATCGTTGACTTTTTTGGCTATTTTCTCTTCTCCCTGTTGCTCGACAGTTGCTGACGCTTCTCCAGAATCCGAATTCTTGCCAAATGATCCATGTTGATTTGCAATGCTCAATGAATCTGAGTCGGTCTTACTGCCATCCTTTAGATTCTTTGAAACATTCTGATCCGATTTCTTTTTCTTTGTCAAATGAGCATTTTTCTGGATATCAGCCAAGCTCGTCGCGTCTTCAGCAGTCAAATCAATCTGCCCGAACGCAGAAATTTCGACTCCAGATCTTCGAAGTTCCGGATTCACGTCAGAAACAGATAAAGAATCTTGTCGTTTCTCATCTGATTGCTGCTTCAATGATGCCTCAGCACCTCCAATTTGTTCCGTCTTCTTGAATTTTCTATTTCTCGAAACTTCAGCATACGCGGATCCTTCAGAAGACTCCAACTTTGATTCTTCAATATTTTCCGACTCTCCAGTTTTCTGAATTTTATCTTCAGAAGATACTTCAGCATATTGAGTTTCCCCAAGATTTTTCTGGTCCAGAGTAGCCTCCGATGACAGATCTTTGTCTCCTTTTTTCGATTTTTTGATATTTTTCGTCACTTCTCTGTAGCTAGCTGTGTCGTGATCTTTCTCATCAATCGTTTTCGAAGCTTCTATGTTCTTATCATCGCGTTTTCCAGATTTTTTCAAGTTTTCTTGTTTATCAATACTTGACAAACTGTGTTTTTCTTTGAGTTTCGACTGCAACGAGATTTCATGAGTTTCTTCATCGTTCTTCTTCTTCATCTCTTGATTCTTGTCAAGAACATTCATCAGATCCGATGCTTTCGTATCTTCCGCTAACATCATTTCAGCCATTTCCTCGTCATCCAAGAATTTATCCAATTCAGATGTCAAGCTTTGTTCAGCGAAACTTGTAGTGACCGTCGTTTTCTGTGGAACTTTGACAGATTTCTCAGTCTTTCCTGATTCTTCAGCCTTTCCAAGTTTTTTATTCTTTCCAGTGATTTCAAGGGAATCTTGATCGGTTACTTTCTCACCAAGATTCTTCTCAACGGATTCGTCTTTTGCTCCTCCTCTTGATTTCTTCTTTGATTTCAGAGTTTTCTCTTCAAATAAAGCTTTTTCTTTCACTTCCGGAGCTTCATTCTTCTCAACTTCTGCAGATTCTGCCTTGTGAGTCAATTTCTTCTTCATTCCTGTGATGCTCATCTGATCAGCTTCTTTATTCTTTTCAGGTATCACGTCTTCAATAGATTCGGATTTTGTAGAAGAATCAAAGCTCACTCTCTTCTTCCTCATTGCCAGCGACGTCTTCTCCTTGTTCTTCAGAGCAACCAAATGCTCAGCTTCACTGTCGTCTGCACTTCCAGTTTTCTCCAGGTTGTCCTCCAGTGATGTCGTTGCCAGAGAAAGTTCATCTCGATTTTTCATCGCTATGTTGGCTTCTGATTTATCTGAATCACCTCGCATTGCTTTCTTTGATCGCAGTGTAGACTCGGCAAATGAATCAGTCGCAGATGTGCTTACTTTTTCTTCTGCTCCAATCTCGGCACTCTCATTCTGTGAACCTTTCTTTAACTTCTTATTTTTTCCAGTAACTGCCAATCCTGTTTTTTCTTCGTTTACAGTTGGAATAGTTTTTCCAGATTGAATTTCTTCTGCGTCTTGTCTGGCTAACCTCTTGTTCATATTCTTCACTTCCATCGAGTATTCCTCCTGATCCTTGGCGCCGAAGTTGAACGTCGTAGATTCCTTTTCATCGCCTTGACCATGATTAGATTGAATATCACGAATTTCCAGAGAAGTTTCATCTTTATTCGCATCTGCAAAAGAACTTTCAGCCGCTGCTCCAGATCCTTGTTTTTTCTTCAACTTCTTTTTCACATCCTTCACTTCCATTGATGTTTTCTCAGCCTTCATATCCGCTTTTGATGTTTCAGCTTCCGCACCAGATTCATTTTGAGATTTGAGCTCTTCATAAAGATCTTGAAGAGAGAAGCTATCAGATTTGTTTTTCGATTCGCCAAGTTTCAACTCTGCTCCTTTGCTCTCTCCTGTTTTTTCCATTTTCTTTTTTAGTGATTGCAAGGATAGAGAATCTTCTTCAGCGTCTGGTTTACTGTCCAAGTTCTGTGAAGTCTCCCCACTTTCTTGATGGTGGGCTAGCTTAACATCAAAGTCTTGCTCAGAAAATTCATCCTTTTCTGACTCGGTTCTATCGAAAGTTCCTGTCACATCAGCAGATCCACTCTGTTTTTTCAAAGATGTGTTCATCTCCTGGATAGCCAATTTATCACTATCTTCCTCTTTTGATTTTCCAGACTTTCCACCGGTGACTGCTGCTTTCTGATCTTTTTTCTTCATGGTCTTATTCATGTCTTGAATAGACATTCCAGTCTGATCACTTTCTGAAGCTCCGGCAGATTTCTCGACTTCAGCTTCCTCATGTTGATCCTCCTTTTTCATTGATTCATTGATTTCTTGGACACTCAAAGCTGACTTGTCACTCTGCTTTCCTTTTTTGCCTTTTCCAGACGATGCACTTTCTTTTTCTCCCTTCTTCGACAATTTCTTATTCACTTCCTTGATTTCCATCGTATCAGAACCTTTCTTCGAGAGCTTCACATCTTCAGACGTTCTACCTGGCTCCTCTTCGATTTTCTCAAACGCATAAGTTCTACTGGCTGTTGGATCATTAGGAACATCTTCACTCTCTTCGTCATATTCAATTTCCACGACATCTGCGTCGATATCAGATTCTTTGATGTTCAGGCTTCGAGTGAGACTTTTTCTTGTTCCTTTTCTAACTTGTTTTTCAGTTTGGCCGTGCTGCTCAGGTGAGTGAAATGTTGAGTTCAAATTGGTAGATTCTTCGTTTCTGTAATTTTTTGATGGAAATTATGAAATTTTTGTATTTTTGATATCAGAATACTTACTGATTGGCTGTGCTCGATTCTCCTCCGTCTCTCTTATTTTCTCCACCATTTCCACCTTTTCCGAGATCAGAACCATCTTTGTCCTCACTTTCTGGAATGACGCAATCGGTATCACTTCCAACTTCAGGATCCTACCTTTTCTGTCTCTTTTCTTTGTTCCTTCTGCTTCTTTCGATTTTTCAGCTCTTTTGTTCACTGAAAATACAAAATTTAAATTTCTTTATCTTTTTTAGATTTGCGGAATTTCAATTTTAGCCAAAATTTGCTTGAATTTTTTATCGAAATTTTTTCCGCTGAATAGAAAAAAAGAAAAAGAAAACAACTCCCTGCAGAAACCTTATCTGAAAAATCTGAAAATTTATTCGACACTTTTATAATTTCGTTCATGCAAACACACAACATGCAACACATGAGATTCAGTGATCATTGATATACCGTAACCTTGTTCCTTTCCTTCAAACTTACCTGGTTCCTTTGGCTCTTCGATTGAAATGGCATCGTCTGAAAAAAGAGAACTTTTGATATACTTTTCGTTGAACAGAGAACAAAAAATGTTAACTAAACGTACACAGAGAGAAAGATATCGAATCTTTGGTTTTTGCGCGTTTTTAGCATTTGTAAGAAGTTGGCGAGAAAATGGAGAGGATGGTTCGAACATGTGTTGACACATACTCTACACTATCCCGACGATTTAACAAGAGGTAGAGCTTGAGACAATCAATTGGGAAACATTGTGACAAGAGAACATGGTGGGCAAAGTGGAAAAGAACGTGATGATAAGTAGAAAAATGGTTTTTTTGGATCTGTAGAAACTCAAAAACCATTGGTTTATTGATTCGGCGGCATAGTTAAAGTTAAGAAATTCAGCCAAATGTTATCGAAACATATTCGACAAAAATTAATTATATGTGAAACATCTGAATGAACTCTAAGAAAGGGCTCAATAATGAAATTTCGGCTCTATATGATTTCAGCGGTCCCTAGAGAAAATAACGGTCCGCAGTGAAAAAAGCGGTTCGCAGGGAAAATAATGGTCCAAAAAGAAAATAACGGTCCGGAGCGAAGTTTACGTTTGGGAATTCAGGAAAACCCCATAAATCCTGTTTTTATTGAATTTTCAATTACCAATCGAATTTTTATGTTGTTTTGTTAGTTTTTTTTACGCCCATGTGTTCCGCACTATCATTAAGACAAAACAATGTTTTATTATAACGGACATAACATATCAAAATGCAAGAGAACACCAAGATGAAGATGAACAGATGTATGAACAAAATGAAGGCATTGAGAATGAAACAAACGAAAATTATTACTAAGCTGTTCATTTTTCTCTAAGTACTGCTCCGTTATAATAAACATTGTGTTGTCTTAATGATAGTATGAAATTTCACATGGGCGTAAAAAAACCAACAAAAAACATAAAAAATCGATTGGTAATTGAAAATTCAAAAAAAAAACAGGATTTATGGGTTTTTCCTTAATTCCCAAACGCAAAATTTGCTCCGGACCGTTATTTTCTTTTTGGACCATTATTTTCCCTGCGGACCGCTATTTTCACTGCGGACCGTTATTTACTCTAGGGACCGCTGAAATCATATAGAGCCGAAATTTCTAAAAAGGAAAGGATTCCAAAATGAAATAATTTTTGTAAAAAAATATAAATCATCTTGTTGCGCAACTCGCAGTAAAAATAGCTACCATAAAACTTGCAATAGAAGTGGGCCCAAATTTTAATTTTTTGCCAATCAGTTCCTGTTAAATGAAAAAGTAGTTAACTGATAAATTGCTTATCATGATATCACAAGTGCTAATCTCAGAAATGTTTTGTCAGTTAAAGATGCAGCTCTATTAGAAATTTGGAAACTCAAACTCAACTTTATTTTTTCGAAAAAAAGGAAAATTTGGAAAGAAGTTGTACACGATTTGATCGTTGATTAACCGCAAAAGTACCAGATGATACACAGATAGCTAAGACGAAAAAGATGAAATTCCCTTCTACTCGCCATCTCCTCTTTTACCGCCACCACCTGTTTGTACAGTTGTTGACTTTTCACTTATCAATTTGATATCCTGAAGCATTTGGATGGTTATCCAGAAAAGTAAAACAAAAAGTGTTGATTGGACCCAAAAAGAAAAAATAGAATGCTTTTGAATGAGAAGCAAAGAACAAAAATCACATTGTTTCAGGAAAACACATAGTGTTTGGGGGCAAATCTGTTGAGCGGCAGAATGTCAAGTGGATGAAAAACATGAAAATTCGTTACACTTTTTGTTCTTTATTCATAAGGAACAAGAGAAAAGAATGAAGTAACAGGAGATATCCCAATGAATCATCGATATCAAAAATCGGAACGACAGTCAGTGAGAAATATAAATAATAGTTGGACAGATTTTTTAATTCTTTTTTGCACAAATTTGTTCTCGCTAATTTTGTATAAAGTTGCTAAAATTGAGCATCACTCATGTTTTTTTTTCTGTATTTTGAATTTAAAAAAATCTGTAATAAAAACACACTGTCAAGTTTGAGCTCAATCACCTCGATTTCTATACAAGATATCAAAAATATGTACACAAATAAAACACTTCTGATATGATGGTAAACAAATTATCAGTTTACAACTTTTCGATATCTATAACAGGAACTGAGAAAAATTCGGTCAAAGTTATAAGCGAATGGGCCTTTCAATAATAGGTTTGACGGTGTGAGAAGTGAACATTTTCCCAGGAAACAAGATGAGCAAAGATTCTTTAAGAAGCTGACACCTCCTAAAAATCAATTCAAAACTACCGAACTATAGTGCTAAAGTGTTCAGGTTGAAGGCAATATCTCAAATCTTGAAACATGCCGGTGAGTGGGAGATATTGCGCAGAAAAGATGAGAGAGGCACGCGATGCGAACTTAGACAAGTTACAAGAAAGAATGCTCGAAAAGTTGCAGAGACGCAGGAGGAACGCGATAGATCGTGCTTGATTACGTACGTATGGTTTAGCCGAGATCGCAGAGGGAAGAGAGAAAAGAGCACGCGAGTGCAGATAGAAGGGGATTTCGCATCGTAACGAGGACATCAAGAAAAAGAAATAGAGGAAACTGAGGAGCAAAGGACAAAAGAGTCAATAATGCGTGGGGGGCAAGATCTCTATATTGCGCGGTGGATGAGAAAACATTTCGTTCTAATAAAAACATAAATCCCAATGATCTTCTTTGAAAACACTTACCGCTCTCTTCATCAGCTAGAGTTGTAGCTTCAATTGGGTCACTGGCAGCACTTTGACCGGCTCCATTCACAGCTATCACTCGGAAAACATATTCGGTGGCCGAGAAAAGACCATCTACTACTGCTTGGGTATCTCTGACAGTACATGCATGTCTCCATCTTCCACCTTCCACTGATTTTCTTTCAACAAGATATTCAACAACATCAGATCCATTTGTTTCGGCGGGTGCAGACCATTGAAGGGAGATGGTTTCCCTTTCAATATTTGAAGATTTCAAAGACACTGGCTTACTAGTGACATCAACAATCTTTACAGGAATTCTGATCTCATCCTCAGAAAATTCGTTCTTCACGATGACCTTAATCTCTCCAGAATCTTCGAGCTTCGTCCGTTTCATTCTGATTGAGATTGTATCATCGAAGTCAGTCACATCGGCTCTAGAGCGGAGGTTTTCGTTGTTATGCAGAAGTTCAACTTGAGTAGGGAGTGGATAACCAGCAATCTGTAACTAAGATAAATTTTAAAACATCCATTACGCATTCGCTAACCATCAAGGAAATGTCCATATTTTTTCCAGCAATAATTTCTGATGTTGGCTGTGATTCCAAAGTGATCTTACATGGGACTCGTAGCTCGAGTCTTGCCATTTTTGATCTGTATTCACTATCGAATACTGCATAAATGTCACCAACATCCTTTCCATCAATATTCTTTATCACTAATATTGAAGATTCATCTGATGTTTCTACAGATGTTTTTCCATAAGCCACACGAATTTCTCTCTCATTTCTCATCCATTTTACATAAATTGGCTTACGAGAGAACTTTACAACGAACGTTGCTTCTCCAGACATTTCAGATACTGTTGCAGACTCTGGTTGACCGATGAACGGCGAATCTGAGAATAAAATAATTATATGACCAGATCAGTTTCAAGCTTACCTCCAGCTTCAGAAGTTTGACCCATCCTACTGTCTATTCCACTCTCATCAGATTCCTTTTGCATTTTGATAGTGGAAGCAGTCGACAAATCTTCAGATTCTGTGACAGTGTCCAAACTGAGACTCACATCTGATTCGACATCTCTACGAGACTCGTCCGAACTGACATCCGATGTCAACTTCTCCTTCTTTTCTGATGGTTTCTTCTTGATGACCTTCTTCTTTTCTTTAACTTGTTGATCAGATTTCTCTTCATTGGCAGGCTTCTTGATTGTTGCAGAAGTACTCTCATCTGAAGGTTCATCTGATGTTTCAACAGCTTTGTCCTGCACCACTGTGAAATCTGCGCTTGAATCAACGCTCAAATCTTCGCTGATAGACGATACCGACTTCTCTTTCTTCTTTTTCATGGTGGTTTTCTTTGTCGTTTTCTCTTCTACGGACTTCGAAACATCAACGTCAGATTGCTCCTCTTTCTTAGCCTTTTCATCAGCCTCCTTGTTGGCCTTATCATCAGCCTCCTTCTTAGTCTTGGCTTCGGCCTCCTTGGTCTTGGTCTTTTCGTCAGCCTCCTTCTTGGTTTTGGCCTCGGCCTCCTTGGTCTTGGCCTCTGTCTCCTTCTTGGCGGCCTTCTCGTCGGCTTCCTTCTTGGTCTTGGCCTTCTCGTCAGACTCCTTCTTGGTTTTGGCCTCGGCTTCCTTCTTGGCCTTCTCGTCAGTTTCCTTCTTGGCCTTGTCGTCAGACTCCTTTTCGGCCTTATCATCAGCCTCCTTCTTGGTCTTGGCCTCGGCCTCTTTGGTCTTGGCCTTATCATCAGCCTCTTTCTTAACCTTATAATCAGTCTCCTTCTTGGCCTTCTCGTCAGCTTCCTTCTTAGCCTTATCATCAGCCTCCTTTTTGGTCTTGGCCTCGGCCTCCTTGGTCTTGGCCTCTGTCTCCTTCTTGGCCTTCTCGTCGGCTTCCTTCTTGGTCTTGACCTCGGCCTCCTTCTTGGCCTTATCATCAGCCTCCTTTTTGGCCTTATCATCAGCCTCCTTCTTGGCCTCGGCCTCATTCCTGGCCTTATCATCAGCCTCCTTCTTGATCTTAGCCTCGGCTTCCTTCTTAGCGTTCTCGTCAGCTTCCTTCTTGGTCTTAGCTTCAAGATCCTTCCTGGCCTTGTCGTTAGCCACCTTCTTGGTCTTGACGTCGGCCTCCTTCTTGGCTTCAGCCTCCTTCTTGGTCTTATCATCAGCCTCCTTCTTGGCTACAGCCTCCTTCTTGGCCTTCTCGTCAGCCTCCTTCTTAACCTTATCATCAGCCTCCTTTTTGGTCTTGGCCTCGGCCTCCTTGGTCTTGGCCTCGGCCTCCCTTTTGGCCTTCTCGTCAGCTTCCTTCTTGGTTTTGGCCTTATCATCTGCCTCCTTCTTGGCCTTCTCGTCACCTTCCTTCTTGGTCTTGGCTTCGAGATCCTTCTTGGCCTTCTCGTCATTCTCCTTCTTGGCCTTCTCGTCGGCTTCCTTCTTGGTCTTGACCTCGGCCTCCTTCTTGGCCTTATCATCAGCCTCCTTCTTGTCCTTATCATCAGCCTCCTTCTTAGTCTTGGCTTCGGCCTCCTTGGTCTTGGCCTCGGCCTCCTTTTTAGCCTTTTCGTCAGCTTCCTTCTTGGCCTTTTCGTCAGCTTCCTTCTTGGTCTTGGCTTCAAGATCCTTCTTGGCCTTATCATCAGCCTCCTTCTTGGCCTTATCATCAGCCTCCTTCTTAGTCTTGGCTTCGGCCTCCTTGGTCTTGGCCTCGGCCTCCTTTTTAGCCTTTTCGTCAGCTTCCTTCTTGGCCTTTTCGTCAGCTTCCTTCTTGGTCTTGGCTTCAAGATCCTTCTTGGCCTTCTCATCGGCTTCCTTCTTGGTCTTGACCTCGGCCTCCTTCTTGGCCTTATCATCAGCCTCCTTCTTGGCCTTATCATCAGCCTCCTTCTTAGTCTTGGCTTCGGCCTCCTTGGTCTTGGCCTCGGCCTCCTTTTTAGCCTTTTCGTCAGCTTCCTTCTTGGCCTTTTCGTCAGCTTCCTTCTTGGTCTTGGCTTCGAGATCCTTCTTGGCCTTCTCGTCATTCTCCTTCTTGGCCTTCTCGTCGGCTTCCTTCTTGGTCTTGACCTCGGCCTCCTTCTTGGCCTTATCATCAGCCTCCTTCTTGGCCTTATCATCAGCCTCCTTCTTGGCCTTGGCTTCGGCCTCTTTGGTCTTGGCCTCGGCCTCCTTTTTAGCCTTTTGGTCAGCTTCCTTCTTGTTCTTGGCTTCAAGATCCCTCTCGGCCTTCTCGTCAGCTTCCTTCTTAGCCTTAACATCAGCTTCCTTCTTGGTCTTGGCCTCGGCCTCCTTTTTAGCCTTTTCGTCAGCTTCCTTCTTGTTCTTGGCTTCAAGATCCCTCTCGGCCTTCTCGTCAGCTTCCTTCTTAGCCTTATCATCAGCCTCCTTTTTGGTCTTGACCTCGGCCTCCTTCTTGGTCTTAGCCTCGGTCTCCTTCTTGACCTTACCATCATCAATGATTTCCGTAGAAGCATCAGCCGACGAAGTTTGACTGATAGAGAAATCTGATTCATCAGTTTTCTTCTTCACAACTCTCTTCTTCGGTTTGGTCTCTTCAGATTTTTCGAGCTCAGTCTCATTCTTGGTCTCAGCGGCCTTCTTAGGTCCTGCTGCTCCTTTTTTGTCTTTGTCGGCATCTTCCTTAGTTTCTGCCTCCTTCTTCTCTTTTGTTTCGGTTAGCTCAGCGTTCTTCGATTCGGACTCTGTTTTCGTTTTTGAAATCTTCTTCTTGTGTTTGATTTCTACAACTTCTTCCACAATCTCAGCTGTTGCTTCTAATGAAACTGTTTCAGGTGCATCAGTTGTAGGTGTTTCAATTGATTCAACAAACTGAACACTTGATTCTACAGAGATATCAATAGAGCTTGCTACTTCCGAAACCATTTCCAAAACTGCGGTAGGCTCACTTTCAGATTCACTCTCCTTCGATTTTCTAGACTTTCTCTTCTTTTTCTCGATAGTTTTAACTTCAACTGATTCTTCTAATGTCATTTCAGCAGAAACCACTGATTCCAAGTCAAGACTGACATCAGTAACCGAAGTGTCAATTGACGGCATCACGTCTTCTTCTCCGACAAAATCGAAACATTCTTCTTGATCGTAATCCAAAGTGTTAACTTCAACAATTTCACTTGGCGCACCTTCTCCAAATCCATTAACAGCTACAATTCGGAACGCATAAAACTCATTTGGAACAAGTTCAACTGCTGTAAAAACCTTCTCCGTAACATGCCCAACATTTCTCCAACGACGACTTTCTGTAGATCTTCTTTGAACAATGTAATGAAGAATATCCGACTCTCCAGTATGAGGTGAGAGCCATTTGATAGTGGCAGATGTATCCGTGAGGGTGACCAGTTGAGCTTTTCGTGGCTTCAATGGAGTATCCACCATTGTAATGTGCAAGTCTGACTCATCTTTTCCATACTTGTTTTCCAAAACTACAGTGTATTCTCCGCCATCTCGTTTGCTCATCGACGGGATGTAAAGCGATGCTATGTTGTCATAAATTTCATATTTGACATCAAAAGCAACTGGTTCTCCGTTAAGTAGTACCCGAAGTCTTGGAGCAGGAGCACCCACGAAGTTGAATTTATAGGTGAACGATTTTCCAGCTTGATGAGTGATCGGCCTTGTTAATCTGAAAATAATTGAAGATTTTGATAGTAACTATGCTCTTAAAACTCACTTATTAAGAATGACTGGTGGTACTGGTCCAGAAAGAATGGCAGGTTGACTTCCAATTGAGCCATCGATCAATACATGATAATGACCTTTGTTTTGAGGAAGGAACTTGGTCAATCGGAGAGATGCTATCCTGTCGATCACTTCCATTGATACTTGATCATCAGCCAGCAATGTCATTCCATTGCAGAACCATTTAGCATCTGATACCGGCTGAGACGTTTTGCATCTCAAAATCACTTCAGAATCCATTTTTTCGATTGCTTGAGATTTTGGATGCTCTAGGATCGATTGTGTAGGCCCAATAGTGAATGAAACAGCTTCTTCAGTGCTTCCAAAACTAACGGACGCTTCCGACATCTCTTCATCCTTTCTAATAACATTCTCATCTTCTTGAGCTTTCCTTCTAGGGATCAACACCTTCTGTTGAATTTCTTGTGTATCTTCATCAGATGGGAAGACATTGATTCCATCATCAGCAGACACATTGCTCAAACTGACATCACAATCAATAGAAGCACTGTCTTCATCGGAATCGTAGTCTTCGAAAATGCTCAGCTCCATTTGATCATAGTCATAGAAGTTCAGATCCACGAGAGCATCAGTATGAATTGATTCTTCTCCAGCTTCAATATCAACATCAACAAAGATATCACTTGATCCGGAATTGCTTCGTTTTCGTTCCATACCACTGATTTCCGGTTTCAGATGGGCAACAGTTCTCTCGTCTTGGTCCGTTTCCTTGACCGCGAACTTTTCCTTTTTATGAAGCTTCTTCTTCTTTTTTAAGTGTTTCTTTGCTTTCGGAGGAGG